TGTCATTACATTGTAGTTTGTGTATTTAAACTTCTCCTTTCATTCTATTAAGTGAATCTAATAATCCAATTTTTAACTATTTTCATGCCATCATTGCATGGTGTTAAAAATACGACAAAGTTAAGTACATAAATAATTCTAAACATCAATTTTTATCATGCAAATGCAAAAGAAAATGCTTCCTAAAACATTGTTACATATAATACTATCTTTGCCTTGATTACGCGGTATAATTAGCTGTTAACAAGAAATTATGATAATTATAATGACAGTTGAAGACAACCCAATCAAACAATTTGCAAACTCTTTTTTTTTTTTGGTCAATTCTAAATGCATCAAAATTTTCATAAAATTGTCAATGAAAAGAAATTATCCTCAAAATACAAACTGCAATAATAACAAGTTGCATATGCAATTTAATAAAAGATATTGTCCGTTTAGCTGCTTGGCTCCCCTAAAAAAGTTACTCTCTTGAAAAAAATAGGGATAAGTGTATTGAAAATCTTAAAACTCATTAAGAAAGTGCAATTGAGTCATAAAACTTTCAAAAAGTGCAATTAAATCCTAAAACTCATCACGAAAGTGAAATTTTTTTTTTGTAAGGTAAGATGTGTATATACTTTTTAACGCACCAATTACAATGAGGGGAAGTCGTACTCAAAAACCTCGTACCCGAGGGAACAAAGAAGGTGTTCCAACGGGTACAAGGTGTACGACTAAACAAGGCTAGAAAGCCGTAAGAGTGAAATTAACAGGCCAACCACTCCGGCCAAAAGAAAGCTATACAACAGTTAAGTGAAACTAAGAATCAAAGATTGAGGCAGAGATGCCCCAGTTGGCTTGGATTCTCCGGTTGCGGGGATTATCTTCAACGGGTTTAAAGGATAAACCTCTATCTCTCGTCACCTTAATAAGATGGTTTCGGATGGCCGGCAAAAAGAATGTCTTGCTCCTAAAAAGGATGTGATTTCGCTCCGTCCAAATGATATGACATAATGCACTGAGGGAGAAACGAGCAATGCGTTGATGGAAACTATGGCCTCCAATGACCCAAATGGCCCATCAAAGGTTGTCATGCCACGATCCATTATGCCAGGAAAGATTACACTTGGAAGCCCAAAAATTGGCAAGGGTGCCAGTGATGTTACAGCCAAAGAGAAATTGAGTCCTAAAATTTTTCAAAAAGTGTAATCAAGTCCTTAAACTTGTCAAATTGGTCCAATAAAGTCATTCCGTTGATTACACTTTTTCGAAATTTCGAAACTCGATTACATTTTCGAGACAAGTTTTTGAAATTGATTGCACATTTTGAAAGTTTTAGAACTCAATTGCACTTTCATGACAAGTTTTAGGACTAAATTGTAATTTTTAAAAGTTTTAAGACTCAATTGTACTTTCATGATAAGTTTTAGGACTTCCAGTGCACTTAACCCTAAAAAACATTTTACCTAAATCAAACAACAAATTTTTAATTACATCAATAAGAAAGTCGTTATTCACTTAAAACAATATATATCAAGGAATAATTTTCAATGTTATAGAGCAAGAAGCTCCAAATGAACTTGTTAACATGATTGATTGTCGTTATCCATTCGTAGTTTCATCATCAATAGATGCATTTAATCAATTTGGGCGCTCTTAAATATTGTCCTCCATGATGACTACACTACAAAAAATAATACAAGGAAAGATGAGTAAATTGTGTATAATGTATTCATCAACCACAATATTCAATCTTTGAGTAAATTATTATAAATTTGTACCAAAAATCGAAGTCGAAAAATTCACAATCATGAGGATTATATGGGAAAATAAAGTTAATAATTCACGGAATAAGTTTAGAATAAGACAAACATGAAGGAAATGTTAGAATGAAATGGATGTGGAAGAAGCGGCTACAATGAAAAGAAGTTGTTTGAAAGGATGTGAGTAGTTCCAACCCAAAAAACCAAAGAAAGGACGTGGCTAGTTTATATCTTTTAATAATATTGAAACAAAGAAAAAAGGTAAGAAATAATCTTAAATTGAGAATGGAACCCACAAGGGATAATGTAGTCAATTCAATGTAACATGGGTGATTATGAGCCAATAAAGAGGTGGAAATAGCATGAGCATTTTGAGATTTTTGTTGTGAAAGATTTGGCTATTTTTTATTCAAATTCTTGGATCGCTCTTTTTCCGCTCCCTTTTCAACTAAAACACTCATCAACATAATAATATGACTATATTGCCCTTTGTGGGTCCCACTTTTTTAGCATCCCTCTTCAACTAATATTTTAAGAAAGTATTCTTACAATTTTCTAGTTGTGTCCCTTTTCTTTTATTAATTTTTTTTTCTTGTGGGTCGCATGCTCACTTTCATTGTCTTCTTCCTTCCATAGAGAGCTAAAAGAAATGGAGACATCCACGCTTATGTAGGCGAAAGCAATTGAACCGGTCCTCAAGACCCACGACAGCACCTTCTCAAGCTGCCCAAGTGAAGGCTCTATGCCACATGTCTTGCACCAGCAAGGGAATCGTACTCGTGGAGAGTGACGCATACGGGCGGGGTATGAGACAGTTATGCACTCTGCATTTGATAAGCCCACGCGAAGGTGGAGTATTTCGCATCGATATGGAGGGGGAGCTGGGAAGGCTGTAGGGGAAGCTGAGGCCAGCGGCCTTAAGGTATACTTTCTGCAATCTAAAATACTTCATAAAAAAACCTTTCTATACACATGAAATAAGTGAAATTCATAAATATAGCGTTACTCATAAGCAGATCCTCTTGGCATTTCATTACCTCCCAAAATCTGACAATCAATTTCCTCGCCTTCTCTCTATCTAGCTGTCTAAAATATCCACCGACCAATTTGCTAAATTTCCTCGCAAAGAGCGTGAAATACATTGAGATTAAGCAAGTCAGATCGGTAACTGCGGAGAAGGAGGTGGTCAAGAAGGAGAGCTTAGTCCAAATCCCAGTGGCGGGTTGATGTGGCCCTATCTAGGATATGCGAGCACAAGACGTGACCTTCATGATTCTCCATTTCTCTGCCTCATGAGAGAGATTGTGAAATTGTTGCTACTTTATCAATGGTGTTGATTCCAACTGAAATCTCAGCTGAACCCCAAAAACGTGCTGCGAGGCATAATCCCCTGTATATCACCACTTTCAAAGATCGGAATCAACCATTCAAGTATGTGCGTGCATAAAGAGAACGGAAAAAGCATGGCCTAAATTCTTTTGTACAAAAATGACATATTCTAGCTGTCAAAAAAATCATGTGCTCGTCGGCCGCCGGGTCCAGACCATTATTTGAAAGTAACTTGATCCCTTCGGGATCTTTTTTGAAACTTAGATACACTTTAAACCCTCTTTTGAGAAAATAACCTCACTTCGACCCCTATTTTTCAAATAATCTCACTTTAAAATTCTTGAAAATTATAAAATATGACGCATAACTTCAATTGCCAATATTTGTACATTTTGAAAAAGTTTGGCTAATTCTAAGAGAAAATGAGCCAAAAAGATTCTTGGTAAAATTCCAAATAAGGGCATTAAGTACTCTAATTTTCTCAATTAAAACTTGAAGTGGACATTGTCCTAAATAAGGGCACGAAGTGGCCAAATCGTCTTAAATAAGGGCCTTTGGTCGGCCGGCCGGCATGTAACTATTCCAACAAGGGTATTTTAGTCAAAAAATATAAGTATACTTTTTATTTTGTTTTTCTTGCTTTCCTTTTCCTTTTCCTTTTCCTTTTTCTTTTTCTTTTTATTTTTTTTTCTCTTTTCATTTTCCCCCTTTCCTCCCCGGCCATGTCGCGCCTCTGGCGAAGGCAACCCTCGCCTAAGTCCAGCGGAGGGAAGAGGGAAAAAAAAGAAAAGGAAAAGAAAAAACAGAAAAAAAAGAAAGAAAAAAAGGAAAAAAAATGTAAGGACGAAAATGCCCTTCGATCAGATAGGTCCGTTCTTATTTGATACTGATATGTCCACTTTAGGTCATTATTTGAAACAAGATCAACTTCATGTCCTTATTTGAGAAAACGAGCGCACTTCGCACCTTTATTCGGCATACAAAATTCACTTCGCACTGGAAGATTTATGACGACTTATTTGGAATTTTCCCAAGATTCTTTTTTTTGAGAAAATATTAGCTAAGACAGTCTTGCCACGTCATCGCTGAGACAGTCCATCCAGCTCACGACACGTGGCATTTGGGACCCACCCATCACAAATTTTCAAAATCTCTCCCCCCCCCTCTCTCTCTCTCTCTCTCTCTCTCTCTCTCTCTCTCTCTCCATTTGTTTCTCTATTTCGCTCTCCGTTACTGCCAAAGCTTCTGCCGCTCCGCTCTGCTCTTCTCCCGAAAACACAAAAGCTTCTTTTCTCTCTCTGTCTCTCCCTCCGTCCCTCTTCACGACCATAAGGCACCGCGCTCTGCTCTCTCCCTTCCTCCTTCGCTCGAAGCTTGACTTCATATTGCTGCCTGCACAAGATAATCCAAATACAAGCAATTTGCAAGTTCTCACAAATAAGATACATTCCTTTGCTGGAAGCTCTCTAGCTTTAAACACTACTTCATGCATCTCTGCAAGAATTTTCGGTGGAAGTCATTCCCGATGGTGCCATTGACGGAGTTATCGGGAGCAGAGCAGAGCGGCAGAAGCTTTGGCAGTAATGGAGAGCGAAACGGAGAAACAAACGGAGGGAGGGTGGAGAGGGATTTTGAAAATTTCTGATGGGTGGGTTCCGAAGGTCACGTGTCGCAAGCTGAGTGGACTATCACGGCGATGACGTGGCAAGGCCGTCCTATCCGATATTTTCTCTTTTTAGTAAAAGTAGAAAAAAATATTTGCCCTTTTTTCAATCGTGTGACCTGGCTTTCACGTGAAGGGAAAGCACAGAATGACAGTCTCTGATGAATGCACGGCCCGTGTACCAAATAACGAAGCTTCCCTATTTTTCGGGCCAAAAAATTTTAAAAAAAATTAAAAATAAAAAGCTTCCGTCGTCTTCTTCTCCTTCCTCCATTTTTGTTAGCCATTTCTCGATCTAAGTCCTCCGAATCCCCCCAACGAATCCCCTTCCCCCATGGACGCCACCGCCTCCGCTCCGTCGCAACCCCCGCCGCCGTCGCCACCGGCCCCGCCCGCCAAACACATCTTCATCCTCTCCGGCCAGAGCAACATGGCCGGCCGCGGCGGCGTCACCCGCCACCACGGCTGGGACGGGGTCGTCCCCCCGGAGTGCCGCCCCGACCCGTCCTTCCTCCGCCTCACTGCCGCCCTCCGCTGGGAGGAGGCCCGGGAGCCCCTCCACCGCGACATCGACACCCGGAAGACCTGCGGCGTCGGCCCGGGGATGGCCTTCGCGAACGCGCTGAGGGAGCGCGGGGTCGGCGCGGGCGGCGCCGCGGTGGTGGTGGGCCTGGTGCCGTGCGCGGTGGGGGGCACGGCGATCCGGGAGTGGGCGCGCGGGGAGCACCTGTACGAGAGCATGGTGAGGAGGGCGAGGGAGAGCGTCAAGGACGGCGGCGGCGGCGGCGAGATCAAGGCGCTGCTGTGGTACCAAGGCGAGAGCGACACGTCGGCGGAGCACGACGCGGAGGCGTACCGGGGGAGCATGGAGGCGCTCATCAAGAACGTGCGCGGCGACCTCGGCCTGCCCTCCCTTCCCGTCATCCAGGTTCGTTCGACCTGTGTTCGTCTCCTCCGCTGAGCTTTCGATCGCCATTGTTGAACAAAGCAAAGCTCCTTTTTTTTTATTTTTATTTTTATTTTTATTGTCTGTTTTTGGCACTTAAATAGAAAAAACCTTAAATTAACTAAAGCAAGAGATGTCAATCGTCGTAGGGTGGTTTTGATTTAAATTCAATGACATAACGTGCGATTAAAATAATATTTTAATCAACATAATTGATGCTTAATTTAGGTAGTGGTACCTAATGGTGAGCAACTGACGTTTTGCTAATGATTATAGTACGAATAATATTTAATATAATAAAAGAATTGGGGCATTATCCCAGAAACTTAATGATAATTATACCAGTTGTTTAAGTATAATTTAATATTTTACTTAGTAATCATATATGTGATTAATTCATATAAATTTACAATTGGTGTTCTCATTACTTGAATAATATAAATAAATTTAGTTATGAACCAATTTTACTTAGTAGAGCGAGTGAGAAGAAAAAGAACGGGAACATAAGAATTAGGTTTTTTTTAATAACAATTATAGCAGTTATTTAATTGTTATTTAATATTTAATATGTGATTAATTCATACAAATTTACAATTGGTGTTCTCATTACTTGAATAATATAAATAAATTTAGTTATGAATAAATTTTACTTAGTAGAGTGAGTGGGAAGAAAACGAATGGGATATAAAAATTACGTTGTAATAACTATTACTGCAAGTAAACACTATAATACACGGTCAATCTATAATAGATCTGTCATTACTGCAGCTAAATGTGTCATAAATCTCAATCTTTTCGACATGGTTCTTGTTTTTATTTGTGTCATGTTTGTAATTTTTTGAATTGGTGATGGTAGTTCTTTAGCTCATGGTTATGCAGAGGTGTGGGCGCAGGGCCCTCAGTAAGCAACTCTTATTCCCACTTTATTTGAATTATACATATCAAATTTATGTGAACTGGGATCACTAGGGCACGAGTATGGGATTCACATGATTAACGACTGTGATGTGAGGCTCACATAATAATAGTTCAGATAATCTTGTTCTCTTAGTGTATCGACCATACGTTACATAATGAGGGGACTATGATAAGGATTAATGACTATCTGAGACAACTATGCTATCCCACAAACAATGCCCTCACTCGGCTTTTCAAAGGGATTGCCTTTTAGTCTCTGGATGCCATTAATTTATATTACAAGGCCCTCGAGACTTGAACACTTTTTGGTCTGCTAGATCCACAGAGTGGCGAGCGGAGAACATACTAGCACCATCTCATCTTTATTGAACTAACAAGATAATCCTAACTCTCCAATGCCATCAGCCCTCGAGGGAGGAATAAGAGTCTTTAGAAGACCATGGGAGAGTGCATATAGATAGAAACCTTGGACAACTTTTATTCCAACTTCTCGTTGAAGTTAGCCTTATATAGAAAAGGCTGAGGACATTGCAGAGTTTGGTACATTATATGTAGGCATATGCAAGATGCTCTTACAGGATAACAATACGAAATAAGACCCCACGTGCATATGCAAGATGCTTGTTCAGGACAATTTTACCGGATGGAAGGACAATAATAGAAACACTTTGGTCAAAAGTAATGGCCGTCGTTACTAAAAGTACAATAATACGAGTAGTGGAAAGATTGATTTATTGAAGTAGATGCGAGCTCTTGATGTGAATCAAGATCGGGTTTGCATCATCAGAATTGGAATCCATATCCAAATCTTTTGAGCTGCTGCTTTGTCCCAGTTCAAGATTAAGATTCAATTGTTGATTGTTGGAGCTGGCCCGAGTGACCATGTGCTAGGTTCGGGGTCTGGATTGATTCTTTGTTGGGGCCAATTGGCCAGAGTCAAGAGTTTGAGATTAGAACAAGTCTCTCCATAATCCCATGGTCTTGAGAGGACTGCTAGTTGATTTTTTCTATATACTACCAGAGCTTGCTGGATGGCTTATATAGTAGGCTCGTATGCTTGGGAATAATCCCAAGAAACCTCTTCTTGATATGCATAGGGCCATATGGATTTTGGAACAATATGATTCTTTTCACAGAGGACTCTTTAGATCTCCATGTATTCACTTGTAAGGTCTATGATACTACGTCCTAAAGATTTATGGACTACTGACTTATGGAATTCCATACTGGTGTGGATAGACAAAACCTTCCATCAAAAGTGTGTTACATCCATGCCTTGTGGAAAATGATGGTTGTGCGGACCTTATGGTCCGGATCAATATCCAGCTCTTTGATAAACTTCTTCCAGCAAATCAAAGGGTGGATCGTTCCGGTAAATCAAAGGGTGGATCCATTCAAGGAATTTTGCAAAATGCTTGAGGTTACACTGCCGATATCCTCCATTAAAGAAGTCTTGAATGATCCTTAAGCGTTCTTGCAGTGGGAGACTCAATAGCAACAGTATGATTGTGGAAAAAATACCAATAAAATCAGTTAAGTTCTTATGGAAATTCTCGACCAAATGAGAAGACGTGGATAAATGGATGTGCGGGATGCATGGAACTAGTTCTCCGGTTTAGGCCTCAACATTGTCTGAAAATCTTGAGCTGGTATTCCCACATAAGCTTTTTACAACCATTCAAGAATCAATCTGTAGCGATAAGTTCTGAGATTTTTAGGGGAATATCTCTCGTGTGATTTGGAGGATCAAAGTTATAAGATAGATTTCTTCAACCTCTTGCTTCCTGGTATGCTTCTTTGGACTTCCAATATGCTTCTCTGGATGTAAACATGCATGATGGAGGAGCTAAAGGTGTGCAAGATTATTCTTTTCACCTTTGATGTGTTTGGTTTCAAAAAAGTAAATTGAAATCCATTCTACCCATGTAACAATTGAGCATGTGGTGTGGAAAGGAATACATATCCATTTCACAATTCATATATAAACTTGTGATGGAAGATTATATGTCTATCCACACCCATATGGAATTCCACTGTTCATATGTCCATATTCCATTCCAAAGGTGTATATTATGGATGTAGTATTGCAGACCTTCTAGGAGAATACAGAGAGATTCAAAGAGTCATCATATTGTTCCAAAAACCATATGGATATGTGCATATCAAGAAGAGGTTATATGGGATTACTCCAAAGCATAGGAGCCTATTACAGAAGCCATCCAGCAAGCTCTGGTAGAATACATAAGGAATCAATTAAGCCTTTTGGAGTTCTCTCAAGACCCAGGGGATTATGGAGACACTACTCTTGATCTCAAACTCCTGCATCCAGCCAACTGATCTCAACAAATAATCAATCCAGTCTGGTGGCATCCAAACTCCAAACCTAGCACGTGGTCACCTAGGCCCAGTTCCAACAACGGTTAGATCTTAAGCTTTAAATAAAGCAATCTATCAACTAGTTGTATTATGCACCGTGGGTAACGAGGCCACTACTTTTGGTCAAAATGTTTTTATTATTGTCCTTCCGTTTGGTAAAATTATGTTGCAAGAGCATCTTGTAGATGCATGAGTGATCGCATCTTGTGTTATTATCTTGTAAGAGCAACTTGCATATATCTATGTACTGTATTCCAAAGTCTATAATGTCCTCGTCCTATCCTATATATCCTATATAAGGCTAACTTCTACAGGAGGTTGGAATAACATGTGGCTAAGTTTTATATATGTACACACTTCCGTGGTCTTGTAAACACTCTTGTTTCTCCCTCAAGGCCTAATGGCTTTAGAAAGTTAAGACTATATTGTTAATCCGATAAGAAGAGATGATGATGATATGCTATTCGCTTACCACTCTGTGGATATTGTAGATCGGATAGTGTTTGAGGCCCAAGTGCCTTATGGTATAGATTGATGGCATTTGGAATCCAAAAGGCGGTCCCTTTAAAAGGCCACATGATGACACGATATGGCACATTGGTAAATTACGGTCAATTACGGATCCTACTATGTTGAAATTTATCTATGTTAGGATTTGTTCAGTAGATACAATCTGGCTTTTTTGTGAATTTCTTTGGGCTATGCCATCGGTATCTTACCTTTTCATCGTATGTTGGGCCAACAATTGATATTTTTGTGTTGTAATTATCTCGTGATATAGATTAGTCGTGTTAAATTTGTGCCTAACCCTAATTGCAACAGGTTTGTTAATGCTATCATACCAAACACGGCGAGTTTATTAGAAAGTTACAGGACTCCACATGTTTAAGATATGACTATCGTGTATTAACATATATAATGTATCCCAACAATTTGTTGTTAACACGACTAACATGTTAACCTATTTTGTTAAATGTTTTCAAGTGCGATAAATTGATATGGTTAATCAAGTTGCCAAAGATAAATAATTTTTCTTGTAGAAACGGGTTAATCATAGAAAATCTCTTACCCATGAAAATGGAGTCGTTCCTAAATTCAATTAAGTATCAGTTGAATTTGACTAATCTATTGTATATCTATTAGATTTTTAACAGGAAGAAACAATTGTAAATTTTAATGAAATTATGAGAAATTCATGTTGGGCTTTTTCAAGTTTTTTCATATTAAACTAAATGGATTAGTGCATTAAAAGTTATTAAGTGTAATTGAATTTCAAAAGATATAATTAAGTCATGAAATTATCAAATTGGTCCAATTCGACTACTGACATTACGTTGTTAAATTTTTTTTTTAATACACGTGGCATCACATCAGAACAAAGTTCGAATTAATAAAAACATTAAAAAAGAATTTAAAAGAAGGGTCAGCAAGGGCTTAATTAAAGTTACAATTAAGCTGTTATTTTCACTTCTTAATCTGGTTTTAATTAAAGTTAGTCGGAACGCGGTGTCGTTTCGGTCATTATTGCACTTTTCATTAACATAATGATGACTAGGAAAGACAAACTAATTAAAGAAAATCAATTTGGACAGAGCTAACGAATGTTGAATGCACCAATATGTCAAGTTTTAGAACTTGATTGGAATTTTTTTTTTAAATTAGAATTCGATTGTACTTCCGCGACAAATTGTACTACTTTTGGTACAGTAATCTCCGAATAAATTTCCAAATGTGGTCTCAACAAAATCCATATTTTGTCACAAATTAAAAGTGGAAGTCCTCCAAGGGGGCCTAATCACACTTCTGCTTAGTACTGGATAATATTTATAGTTAGCTCTTCGAGGAACGTTTAATTGCTTGAGATAGCTAAACAAAATGAATATTGCCAACAAAAAATTGTCCTTAATTGAGTATGTCAATCCGAATGTGTCGATGAATTATAAGTGGTCAATACTAATATTTCTGTACTAATATGGAATGCCTAGCGGGTTTGCGTGATTCTCATTAAATTTTGTATAGAGAAACTAAATTTTTCTTAGAAATTATGAAGAGTGTAAATCCAAAATTGTGTTCAATCGGGCGTATGTAATAACTATTTGTGCGGAATCGGATGGTGTGCAGGTCGCAATCGCGTCGGGGGACGGGAGGTACATGGACAGAGTGAGACGGGCGCAGCTCGAAATCAATCTCCCGAACGTCGTGTGCGTCGACGCGAAGGGGCTGCCGCTCAAGGACGACCACCTTCACCTCACCACTCAAGCCCAGGTCCGCCTCGGCCGCATGCTGGCCGACGCGTACCTCCAGCATTTCGCACCGTAGGCCCCCTCGCCGTCCTCTTCTCCTTCGTTTGAGGACTTTCGCTTCGTCGCACGACTTGGGGGCATGGATTTTATAGTCATGTGTTGTGGTGTGGGAGAGACTATTGATAAGTTGCGTCGCCCCATCCCTTGAAGTGGGTTGGGTCGGGTTTGATGTCGGGAGCAGATTTAAGCGTGCGGTTTAGGCACACGGCTTGTATTTGATTCGCCACGTGATTAAGTGTAAGCAGTACTCCGAGCATTTCTCATTTCGCAAGATTAGTTAAGTAGTTAGGGATCGAATTGAAACTTTGGCAGATTTTATTGGGCAGTAAGGGTGAGCATGGTCTAGAGTAAAACTGGGAACCAGACCAAATAAGTCATAGGAACTGGTCCAGTTTTAGGTTCTCGCGGTTACTAATCTGGTTCCTTGTTCCAAAAAAAGTAGAATTGGTATTGTGCAGTTCGGTGGGTTGTTGGTCCTGGGTAAGAATCGAACCGGGAACCGATGAACCGGACCTAAGTTAACTCTAAATTCTCTTTTTACTCGTGCTAACAATAATAAACAATGCATCTCAAGTCTCATCCGCCTCTCATCTTTGGATCTGCCACATGCTAATAACAAACAGGTACCCACTAACTCAATATATTATATTGTTTTCTTTTTCTTTATATTTAGTCCGCAGTTTCGTTCATCCTCTGTCTTTTCTATTGGTAGTGAAGATCCCCATATCCAGTTAAATGCTTTTGAAGTTGACGTCTAAAGAAGTCGAGCTGTTAGAGAATACTATGGGCTATAGTTAGTGTATGTATTAACAAATATAAATTTCTAAAGTACATACCGAGCACGATGACGTCTTCATCATCTGGCTCGAGGATAGGGAAGCCGATGACTATCGCACCATGGACTGTAGCTCTCGTCCAATCACTGCGAGCATGCCACCAAAGAGTTCCTTTCTCGCCGGTAATGGTTTATGTTACGTGTTCTGAACTTTCTATTATTTATCTTATTTTACGTGTTAATCTTTTACGAACTGTCGCTATTGACAAATTAGGGTTTTTGCTGCTGCGTGTACTTCCATTTTGCTTCACTAATAATGAAAGGAAAAAAGAGAGAAAGAAATATTGAAACAAGAAAAAGAGATTGCCCGTTTCTCTCGGGTAGATCCTGGAGTCAATCCTCGGAATCATTTGTCCTAGTGAGTTCCGTCTTTCAAGTTTCAAAATCGATCTCGACACGATAGGCTTCAGGTTTCAGATCCTGGACCGATCCCGAAACCGCTCGTACCTATTGGGTAGCCCATCAATTCTGCTCCTTGGTATGGCATCGTCGACCTACTTATCTCACTTTATAATCAAACAAAAAGAAAGAAAAAGAGGAAATTGATGCCGATGGAGGATGAGCTGGTGGCCTCTTTGCTTGAGAAAGCAAAATCAGATTTCCCTCTCCTTCTTCCCCACCGACTTCCCAGGGGGGGGGGGGCCCACCCAAAGTGGGAGTAATTCCCGCGATGCTGAGATCTGACACTCGTGTCGTTTTCTGTCGAGGCAGAGACCAGGGAGATCTTACGTTAGGCGATCTTAGGTTTTCAGATTTTCGTACATGAAGTCGGACGGTGGCCGTCGCGCGCCACTCGGAGGCGCGTCGTCCTTTGCCCCGGCCCCCCCCTGGGCCTTTGCGCGGCGGCCGCAGTTTTGTGCGTTCGAGACGTGAAAGAGAATTAAACACGAATAAAAAGTTTTAAAAAAAAATAATTAATATTCACGAAAAATTTTAAACTGATATACCTATAATAAATTTATCTCAAGAATTAATTTTTTGACCACCAAAAACCTCCAAACTGATACACCTGTGACAAATTTACCCTCTATTAGTTTCAGTTAATTTTATCTTGTTAAATACGGGTTTTATGACACGTGATACGTTAGTTTATTGAGTTTTACCCCTCTTTATTTTGTCACAAGTTTACAATTTTTTTTGTTTTTCGTTATATTAATACAATTTAACAGAAGGTAAATTATCACAAGTGTACCAGTTTAGGGTTTTTCGTGATAAAAAAATTAGTTCATGGTAAAATTGTCACAGGTGTACCAGGATTTTTTATGCTCAAAAAATCAGTTCGCGATAAATTTATCACGGGTATATCAGTTTTTGATTTTTAGTGGTCAAAAAATTTGTTTATGGTAAAATTGTCATAAATGTATCAGTTTGGAATTTTTTGTGATATTAACCAAAAAAAATTTGATTGATTTAATTGAAGATTTCTTCCTCGTGAATAAAAATTTACCTGAAATGTATATCCGAAGTATATAGAGCTCAACGCACCACGTTCGATGTAATACTCGTCTTATAATTATGGATTACTTGTCACGATGCACAGAGAAAACACGATTTTCTTAAGATATGTTGGTGTTTCGTACTGATAATAATGGCGTGTAATAGATTAGAAATAGAATTCCTGAATATTCTTCCTCGGAAGTCGTACACTATCATTCATCGTACTCCTACTTGGGAACTTTCTAACGAAATGGTTTGAGTAGAGTGTAAGGATAGACTTATTTTAGACAGCGGATACCTTTTTCATCATGACCTCTTTTTCGACACCGCAGCACACCATCAACCGTACTGGAGCAGTGAGCACCCATCATTCGTGTGTTCCTTGCAAGTGCTTTTAAAATGGCAATGTTGCCAATTATCCACTTCAAATCCTCGTCATTCCTGAAAATCCAATCACCGGGCAACTTCCATCTATTATTTCCATGTTCAATAAAGCTGATTTTCCTCCTTTAAATCCTGTTCAAAATTCTCGGCTTCTTTTTCTTATTACTGAGGAATTTACTGATCCACAGCAAAAATACATTCATGCTCCAAAAATTCATTCTCCCACTGATGTAGATGAACGTGGAAGGCCAAAGAGAACACCTATTGCTGAGGCTGTTCTAAACTGGCAATCGAAAGCTCTTCTGTCACAAAATCAGGCTTTCAAGACGATTGACTCCAAAATTATTGATGTGCAACAAGAAATCCGAAAATGATCATGTTATTCTCATTTGCCAAAACAAAATATATTAGTATCGATAAGACTCACGTCGGATACATAAATGACGATAGGACCGGGGCCGAGTGCTAATGGATACGCTTGAGAAGTGTCATATGATGAAAGCACGGTACACCCCATCACAAGCTCGTCCAGGCTCGGTGTCAGCAATCCATGTTCCCTGTTTTGGACGAGCAGACTTAAGCGAGAAACCAAAACCCAATCCAACTCACCCGTTTCAGCTAGCCGTCTTATCATTATTAGGTTAAAAGTCTAACATTTAGTTAGCCGACTATTCATAACCTTCCAAAATGTCAACATTCATTATGCCTGAAACTAAGTACTTGAAAATCTGTTGTGGAAGCTCTTTCTTTTGTCTAATCATATATATATTTGGTAGCCTCTCGAGTCTAAAATGTTAAGCTAGTGTGGTGCCCATCCAACCATTCCAAGATTTTTCACAATATACAAAATCCAAACGGGTGTCATTATAAGAGAAAATGGGTAATTTGCGATTGAAGTTTCTGTTAATTAGACAATTAGATAGATATTAATCAAACTTTAATCTAAGGATTAGATGATCTTCCTATTATCTAAGCCTTCCCCATCTAAGTTTCCATTCAAACATTGCTTGTGGAAAAAGACTATGGATCATGTAATTGAACTTTTAATATCTTTTAATAACTTTGGTCATTCTATCTCTTTATTTTTTTTGTTTTTAGGACAGCATATAGGAAATATTTTTGTAGGATTTATTTTCTAAAATTAAAATATAAATCGCCAAATATTACCTTTTCCAACTCATCTACTTGCTTGCACCTTTTGGCATTAAGATCCCTAAATGCTATTGACCTTTTGGGACTTTTTAGTCTTTTTATATCCGAATGTTTCCCTCTTTAAATTTCGAGTTTCTTGTTTACTAAAAATTGGGGTTCATTCATATAATACATTAAAAGCATAACACTAAGAAATATATTGGCATTATTTCTTGCTATTTATTAAAAAATAAATTAGACGAGGTACATGCCGCATGTATCGTATAGAAAGAAAAAGAGTTCATGGGATCGTAGACGGGAATAATGTCGTGTTCATATTGCTAGAGCTGCAATATAAAAAGCCTAGAAGGCCAGAAAATCCAAATCAGACCGACCTGTCGCGTCCGAAGAAAACCGAGCTACTCTTCAAGTGGATATTCAAATTCTCATTCGAGCCAGTATGGGTTTTCGTGTCCCGTCCGACTTCCGTGGGTTTTTCCAATCACGCCAAGATTAACAATGCAGTTATAAAAATATTTCCAAATTCATTCTAAATAGTTTGCGGGATTACTGTTACCTTTTCAGGCTGCGACATCAAATCCATGCATTTTCTTTATATCGTAGCAGAATGGATAAGATAAGCAAGAGAAACTACCCAAAACAAAACAAAACAATTTTATTTTTCTTTTTGCAACAAACAATAATTAGCTATATCTACATATACCTATATACATATATTTAATAGGTTGCGCGATTATTATTATCTTTTCAGGACGCGAAATCGAATCCAAGTGTTTTTGCATATATGGTTGGAGCATGGATGAGATCATAAGATAAAAGAGAGAACTACCAAAACAATCATCATGTTCTCTTCTCTTGGGCAAGATATCAAAAACTAAACCATAATTAGCTTATTACATAATTATATATATACCAAGTTTATATCAATAGTAAATAATTAATTATTAAACATTTTTTTTGGGGTTAATTAGGACTCTCTCACCAAACCCCACCGCCACGGCGCCACCAACCCCCCGAATCATTCGCATTTTCCCTCTCCTCATTCCGTACTCCGCATCGCCTCTTGTATACTCGCGCACCAACACTCGCTCACCTCCGCCCTCCGCCGCCGCCGCCGCCGTCAATGGCCGCCACCGGTTCCCTCCGCGCCGCCGCGGCGTCCCCTTCCCTGAACAGGCCGACCCAGCTGTCCCTCTCCTCCAAGCTCCCCCTCCACCCCTCCTTCTCCTCCGTCTCCCTCCTCCCCCGCCGCCACCACGCGGCGGCCCCTCTCGTCGCCGTCGTCGTCCGCTCCTCCCTCGACGCCAAGCCCACCGTCCTCGTCGCCGAGAAGCTGGGCGAGGCGGGGCTGGCCCTCCTCAAGGGGTTCGCCAACGTGGACTGCTCCTACAACCTCTCCCCCGAGGAGCTCTGCACCAAGATCTCCCTCTGCGACGCGCTGATCGTGCGGAGCGGGACCAAGGTGAACCGGGAGGTGTTCGAGTCGTCCGGCGGGAGGCTGAAGGTGGTGGGGCGGGCCGGCGTCGGGATCGATAATGTGGATCTGTCCGCGGCGACGGAGCACGGGTGCTTGGTCGTGAACGCGCCGACCGCCAACACCGTCGCGGCCGCCGAGCACGGGATCGCGCTCTTGGCCGCGATGGCGAGGAACGTCGCGCAGGCTGATGCGTCCGTTAAGGCTGGTGAGTGTGTGAGTGTGTTGTCCTATGTTGGTTTGCTGGTTCTGCGTTTCCTCAGCGGCGGTTTCGTTGGGTAGTCCTGTGACGCATTTCGTCGAGCACATGGTGGCTTTAACTTTGGCTGGATCCGTATTCCGTTCGTGGCGTGTGGCGAGAAGTTTGAACCATAGAAAAGTGCGTCCCTTTTTCCTATTTTCACTTAAAAAGAGTAAGCTTTGGTGTAGATTGGGGTTGCTTTTGAGATGCCCATCTGGCAAAAGCAAGCTACGAGGGTTCTTTGGGCTTTAAAGGTCTAATAATATGATCTTTAAAAGGCGTATCTAAGAGAATTAGTTCCTGAGTAATAGGTGAAGTGGAAAAGCTCCAGATTCTGGTTTATTAATCTGAGGAATCTAGCATTATGAAAAGTCGTGGGTTCGTTGTAGCTAAGATTGTTTGTCGTGCGTGTAGGGTTTATGAAGGGTTCATGAAAAAAGGAACTGTGTCGTGAATATTCATTTGAATTTTGGGTTTTCAAATTGTTTGTTTGCTTAATTTGTTTGAATAGAGAAATACTGAAAAGCCAGAGGTACCACTGAAGATCATGGGTATCACTAGATGTATCCTGTCATGTATGCAGAAACTTCTCTATAAACAAGAGGTTCCTTTTGTACCCAATCACTTAAATTGCTTTCCCTGGCTGAAATTACTATTGGACTGACCTTGGTTGAATGAAAGCAATTCTCACTGGTGAGGCAAATCCAGGACTACCTTGAGTAGAGATGTGGATTGGTTGCTTGGTGGAGTAACAAATAGTATTCATTGTGTCAGCCAAATTTAGTGGCATATGCCTTTTATATACACTTTTCAGCTATTCAGGTCATTTGGATTTTGTCTCCTTAGTTACATCAATGCTTAAGTTTATAGGGGACGAAGTGAATTGCCAACATTTTCTTGAGGCTATATCAATATTGGTCTTTGACAAATGGTTATTTTGCTTGATGCAGGAAAGTGGCAAAGAAACAAATATGTGGGTGTCTCCCTTGTTGGGAAAACGCTTGCCGTCATGGGTTTCGGAAAGGTCGGATCAGAAGTCGCACGTCGTGCCAAAGGTCTTGGTATGCATGTGATTGCACATGACCCTTATGCCCCTGCAGATCGAGCACGCGCGGTAGGGGTGGATCTTGTGAGCTTTGATGAAGCCGTATCAACTGCAGATTTCATTTCTTTACACATGCCCCTGACACCTGCTACATCAAAGATTCTCAATGATGAGAATTTTGCAAAGATGAAGAAAGGAGTTCGAATTGTCAATGTCGCTCGTGGAGGAGTGATTGATGAAGAAGCTCTTGTGAGGGCATTGGATGCTGGAATTGTTGCTCAGGTATTGCCATCTTATATCTGAAGTGTTGAGCTTCCTCGTTGTTGCCTTGGGAGATGAAGCACATACTTGCCTTGTTGCAGGCGGCACTTGATGTCTTCACAGAGGAGCCACCAGCAAAGGACAGCAAGTTGGTACAACACGAGAGAGTCACGGTGACCCCACACCTCGGAGCCAGTACCATGGAAGCACAGGTTTGTTAACAGTTACGGCTTAGCCGACTATAACTTTCTCTATGTTATTAGAAATCATAAAATGGTCACTTAATATGCCAGGAAGGAGTGGCTATTGAAATTGCTGAAGCTGTTATTGGAGCTCTGAAAGGAGAGTTGGCTGCTACTGCGGTCAATGCGCCAATGGTTCCTGCTGAGGTATCAAGAACTTTTTCCACAACTTGGCTGTTTGGCCTCTCTCTCGGTCTACTTTCTACTTTTTATCCTCCAATCTGTTTCCTCTCAACCTTCAGTATTTGTTCTCAGTATTTGACATATCTTTATCTTGGCTTGGGCTCTGATGCATAATTGTTGTGATTGAACTTGCTTGATGTGCATTGTGGAGGAGAATGATTACCAGTGCTCATAGAAGTTTGATCTTTGCCAGCAAAGATTTGTTTTGAGACGATCGATTGGAATTGTCCGATACGTGTACAATTGTTTAATTTCGTCGATGTTTGGCTTTGTCCCAAATCCAGCTTCCTCTCTGTACAAGATGAATGGAGGAACCGAGTTTTTGAAGACCGTAAGATTTGCTGCCCCAACTTGCTTGATGTGTACTGCGGAGGAGAATAATTACCCGTGCTCACTAGAAGTTTGATCTTTTTTGGCTAAGATTTTTTTTTTTGAGGTGATCGATTGGAATTGGCCAATATGTGTACAATTGTTTAATTTCGTTGATGTTTGGCTTTGGCCCAAAACCAGCTTCCTCTCTGTACAAGATGAACAGTGGAAGTGAGTTTTGAAGACCGTAAGATATGCTGCCCCTTGGTCAATTCCTGTAGGATCGCACCTAGGGTAGGTACTTGGGATTCAATCATGAGTGGGTCAATACTGTCGTGTTATAGACAAGTAACTCTGGATGATTTTAATGACGATTTTGATCCCTGAGGGTGCTTTGTTTAAGATCCAGAAGGCACAACCTGGTTCAATATATGCTTGAGTAACATAAATCTTAACTTTATACATTTCCTTTTTGGCTGCAGGTTCTTACAGAGCTGAAACCATATGTTGTACTTGCTGAGAAGCTTGGGAGATTGGCCGTTCAATTAGTTGGGGGTGGGAGTGGCGTAAAAACCATAAAAGTGACGTACGCTTCTGCAAGAGCACCTGATGATCTCGACACTAGACTACTCCGTGCTATGATTACTAAGGGTATAATTGAACCCATATCCGATGTCTTTGTGAACTTGGTCAATGCAGATTTCACTGCTAAGCAGAGAGGACTGAGAATGACAGAGGAGCGGGTCATCTTAGATGGTTCACCTGAGAGTCCTCTTGAGTTTATCCAGGTTCAGATTGCAAATGTGGAATCAAGGTTTGCCAGTGCCATATCAGATTCTGGGGAGATCACGGTCGAGGGGCGGGTGAAGGATGGGATTCCACATCTCACAAAGGTGGGATCTTTCGAAGTTGATGTGAGCTTGGAGGGAAGCATCATATTGTGCAGGCAAGTTGATCAGCCAGGTATGATTGGCAGAGTGGGAAGCATTTTGGGAGAAGAGAATGTCAATGTCAGTTTCATGAGTGTTGGTAGGATCGCACCGCGAAAGCATGCCGTGATGGCTATTGGAGTTGATGACCAACCCAGCAAGGAGACTCTGAAGAAGATCGGGGACATTTCCGCGATTGAGGAGTTTGTTTTCCTCAAGTTGTAATGTGGGGTATGAGTTGTAGTCCTACATCTGTCTTTCATCATTCATAGCCGCTGAGCATGATTTGCATGTCTTTGCTCTGCGATTTTGGCTGTGACGTCGGTGTTTTGTAGTAGTATTGAGGTAGAGTGGAACGATAATCAAGTGCTGCGAGGAAGATTCTGTACTTTATCATGTTGCTTTTTGCCTGAATGAAATGCTCTTTTTCAATAAATTCATACAAGTTATAAAAGGTAAAGACTTCGCCTCAGTCCAGGATTCAACATGTTTCTCCTCTCTCTCTCTCTCTCTCTCTCTCTCTCTCTCTCTCTCTCTCTCGCCTCAGTCCAGGATTCAACATGTTTCTCCTCTCTCTCTCTCTCTCTCTCTCTCTCTCTCTCTCTCTCTCTCTCTCTCTCTCTCTCTCTCTCTCTCTCTCTCTCCGTCATTATTTTCTCCCATTAAGTCCTTATGTATTAGTGGCTCTCGTGATTTTCATGATTCTTCTCATTTTGATTTAGGAATAGAAGAAAATATCAAAATACAAAAAATAATCATTTATAGATGAGATAATAACACAAACAGTCTCTAAATTTTGGCTTAATGTTCAATGTGATTTTTAAACCTTCAATTTGTTCAATGTAACTTAAAAATTTTAGCCTAATGTTCAATCTCGTCCCTGAATTTTTAATTTATTCAATGTAGTCTTTAGACTAAACATGAATTAATAGAAAGATTATATTGAACATTTTCATATAGTTCATGTACTAAATTGAACATATACAAAAAATTCAAAGACAACATTGAACAAATTAAAAGTTCAGGAATCACATTATATATTGGGTTAAAGTTCATGGACCACATTGAACAAATTAAAAGTTAAAATTTAGAAATCAAATTACACATTGAGCCAAAGTTCGGGGACTGCTTTTGTCATTTTTCTATATAGACACGTTGAATGAACGGTAATATCCAAAGAATCCCTGGAGTCTGGTATAAGGCCGTAATGTCCTAATGTCAAGAACAGTAAACAATGGGTAGAGAATGGTTTGTGTAATAACAGAGATGCCATATACATGACAACTCCTGGAATTTGTGCTTCGGTATGTTTTGCTTAAGTACAATAATAGTGTTTTTCCATCCAGCAACTTCCATCATGCGGAACCTTATGGCTTTCATCGAGACAAGACAAAAAGAGACAAAAAACCTTTGCACTGCGAACTGCGATAGACTCTAAACTCTTTCTGATGTATCCTATGTTCTCGGAGAATGCGATCCCCATTTGGTACGGTACATGCCGCTTGAGCTCAATAGTAGATCAACAGCAGAGCAAGTACTCATAATCTTGAAAGAGACGGCTTCTGTTCCATCTCCCAAATACCAAGTCCATGCTCAGGGAATAGTTTCAAGAACCAGAAAGGAACGGGACATGAGCCAGAGTCGTCGGAAGAGAGATGTTGAGATTATGAACAGCTAAATAGGCAGCAATCCCAGCAGCATAGCCCGCAAAAGCAAAACCACTCACCTGTTCCCGCAAAACAAACATTGAACAATTTCAATATATTTGAATTTTCTCAAAAGGAAAAAAGAAAAATGACCCAATCATCAGAAGATCCAAAATTAAACTCTGACAGTGCTGAAAACTAAATGTCTGGGAAGTTGGTACATTTGCTTCTTCTTTACCTAGCTATACCCTTAACTCGCCTTAAGCATGTTAGTCACATATAAGCATGCAGGTGGTTGGTGAATCACAACCAAGGCCAGGAACCAAATCATTTCAACATATCCACGTGAAGAGATATTAGGTTTCGCAGTTGCCTCTGAGAATCTTAAGTGAAAACCGGATCAAAGTTCAGCGACCTGAAGTTAAACTTAACCAACCAAAAGAGCAATACAATAGAACCAGGAGAAACTCAAGTAGCGCAGAGTACCTTTCGAAAGTACCAAAAGAAGTCCACCTTTTCCATCCCCATAAATGCCACACCAGCCGCTGAGCCAATAACTAGCATGGACCCACCAGTGCCAGCACAATAGGCAACTAGCTGCCAAAACTCTGAATCCCGCGGGAACGAGGTCAGATCATACATCCCCATTGTTGCAGCAACCAGCGGAACATTGTCTATAATTGCAGAAACCACCCCAATTGACCCAGCAATCAGTTCGATGCTAGGAATATGTGCATCAAGGTAATTCGCCAATTCCCTGAGAAGTCCTGCAGCCTCCAGGCTAAAAAACGGTATATGTCAGAATCGATGCATTAATGAGAGTTTTAATATGTGCATGTCAAACATGTAGCATATAAATTTCCCAAGACTCTTGGCAATAAAGAGTTGAGGTTAGTGGGATGTGGACATGCATAGGATTTGAGTGTGGAAAGAAAAAACTGTTTCATTAGATTTTCCTTCTATGAAAAATGGGATTGAGGGTCTAGCTCAATGGACTTTATCCATTGTACAGTTTTACTAAATAGATAGAGAGACAGTTTCTCTCTTCAAAACTCACCAAATGTTAATCTCGAGTCTCGGTAAGATCTCATGAATGCGCTACATGATCAATATGAGTAGCAATTTCAACCACTAGGCATGTTTGCTCAACATCATAACATAAAGCAAAACTAGAAGACTAATTGAGTTGCGCAATCAGTAAACAAGACCTAAAGCAGCTTGTTATGCTACTGTTGGTAGGAGATGCATTGTTGGTACTCATCAGATGATGCATACGAGGCCACATTTGTGATGTAGAATAAGAAGGAAGTTGTAAAACTGCAATACGATGATGAAAGAAGAAGCATAATCAACTGATTGGCTTAGTGGTTTAAGGAATGGACATGTATATGTTCAATTTCCCATGTCAACTGGGGAAAACACCATGTTTGAACTGCCCACTTGGATTTGGCTCTCTTCATACTGATCCATGAGGTCAGTGGGGTATTTTATGAGTCCCGGGTTTACATGCTTGAGGTGGCTTTTTCGCTATTATAATAATAAAATATTATGCACTCGTCTAGTGCAGAATGAAGCGGACAATATGGTGAGTCACTTGAGAGATTTCCAATGCCAAGCTTGACAGAATATATGGCTCAGATAGATATATTAATTGTGTACATGTCCCTGCACAGACAAGAGAATGTCTCTTCAATGTCTGTGTACAAGGGAGATTTTGCATGCAGAGATTACTTCATCAATCTTCTTAGTTTAATTAATAACAAGAGGTGATGATACTAATCTTCTGAATAAATTATGAGCAGTAGGTAGAAAGAATGTCCTCACGTCATTCACAAATTACCTGCTTACAGATAAAAGAATTCCAAGGAAGAAAAGGGCTCCTTGAGTGTCAATCCGAGATAAAGCCTGCGGTACTTTCAACCTTTGCCTCTCGGATTCACCATAATGGATTGCATCTGTTAGAATCCAAAGAACTCCAAGTCCGAGCAACATACCCATGTAAGGAGGCAGACCAGTCAAAGCTTTAAATACTGGAACAAAGATCAGTGCGCCTATTCCCACAGAGAAAACAAGCTGTCCTCGAGGAGCCATCTGTTCAGATGCCAAAACATCGGTAGACTCCTGTCCCTTCCCATTAACTTCACTGTACAGAATAAAAGAAACTAACCTCACAACTCCAGATCCATATAGTAGGAGCTAATTGCATTCGGCATATGGCTGGATATGCTAGGAGAGTACCTGGTAAGGGACATAAGAGCCAGTGGGACGGCTAGAGAAACTGCTGAGGGGAGAACCAAGTCCTGCAATTTACATATTCTGCTATGGTCTTGAAAGGGCACCAAAATATGAAAAACTATTGACAATAGAGGGTTAACACAACGGTGCGCCCAACAGATATATCTCATATAGGAAAGCAGTTAGTCATTGTTCAAGGAAATTGAAATTCCAATGCCGAGTTTTAAAGTTCAAATTCCAACTTTCATTGATGTTGTTAGAGCATGAGCAAATTCAAGCAGAGTGTTACTGTCATTGGTCATATAAACCTATAGAGAAGCATGGAAAATTCAATCACTATATGAGGTAATGAAGTTGAATCACTGGTAATAAATCATATGTTATTGGACTGTGTGAGGTAATTAAATCCCGGTCGAGAACAAGGATAAAATGACCTTCATTGTCTGCACTGTGGATATCTGACCATGAATCCAAAGCATAGTGGTAGTAACATCGCCTATGGGAGTCCATGCACCACCAGCATTTGCTGCTATAACCACAACAGCTCCAAGAAGCCTGCCAACATACAGTGGAACATTGGTTAAATAGAATTTCTCGAGAACATAGCACAAAGCAATTGAGAAGTGATGCACAGCACTACAAGAAATCCTACCAAAAATGCATGGAAAGGAACTAAGTCAAGCTAAAAAATGAAACATTAGAAGCTGATAGAATCAGAAAGCACTTGACAAAACGAGCATCAACCCGCGACACCAGCAAGGTGCTCTTTTATGTATTGTAAAGAAGGGGCTATATCAACCAGCAGCATCTATCACTAAGATTGAAAAGGTCGGTATGTGGCCATCTCACTTCCTTGAACCACTTGTCAACGTCGTTAGGTAGTTGCACTTATTATAAAAATAATTCTATTTTTTTGATCTGATAAACTATCTCAACTTAAAATCTCAAACTCAATAAAAGGAGCTGACTTCTGAAGTTACGATCATTACAAAACCAACTTAGTGGCTCATACTCCTAATAAATAGATTATAATGTTCAATATGGCCTAATGACATGACATCTCAATATGAAAGAAAATCCTATCAACACAGTAAGGGCGCAGAAAGACCCAACTGAAGGAAACAAAACACCTAAAAACCAAAATACAAGCTACAGATGTTGACATGGGGACTTCACGATAATCTGAAAATGTTGTAACATACTTGCGGTACTCGGAAGCAGGAACTAGCTTCCGCAATAAGGACACCATGACAATTGTAGATGTCAAGTTGTCCAGGATAGAACTTAAGAAAAATGTCACGAAACCAACCTGAAAATCCAAAAAGTTAAAGGTCAGCACCACACTGAATTGAGAGGGTTGATACTCAATTAGTCTCGTACTTATTCAAAGTTAGACATTGAGGTACCTAAAATGTCCATGAGAAGGATTGAAAGAAGTCATCTAAACTATAGCGATTACCAGTTTCTTTGCCTCCTTTCTACTTCCTGAATGGGCAGAAGCCAGTGTTACCAGTTCAATCTAGAACACAAATGGTTATCCTCCACAGTGTCCTTGTCTTCCATTAGAACTAAACACTAAAGCATCTCACGTTAAACAGGCTCATCCAACAGCCAAAGTTTCACCAGCTATGTCTAGTTCATATCCATGTAGATTTAATTCTGATCAACCTATTCAATGAATTCCATTTGTTGTTGCAGTACTTTCAAATGTCCTCCTCTAACTGTACCACAAGAAGCAATCTCAATGACAAGTTCACCTTACCTTCTTTCTAGTCCTTAAGTGGTTGGATGCTTCTTGAAATTCAGATGACAGTCATCACACTTTGGTCAACTAGGGATGTCAATGGGCTCCAATTAGGGGCTTAGGCAATACTCAATGGAAGTGCAAAGCTGACAGAAGTACTGAATCAATCACGATATGCACCACTTCCAATTTAAAAACAAATTTTAGTCATTTATGCAACTGTCAATGGATTATGTGATCAAATGTCACAGGGGGTTCAAACTAAAGTCATTTACCGCCCCTCATGCTAGTTGCTATATGAGATGCAATATGAACTGGGTAAGTGAGTTTGAACTAAAGGTTCAATAATGTATTAACAGGAGTTCTAATTGCAATTCACTGACTATACAGCTAAGAAGGATTCTTCAAGACACTGTGAGAGCAGAAAAGCACCTACCACCCAGAGAAGAGTACGTGGCTTCCGAGTAGTTATATTGTCTGTAACCAGCTTGAATCCTTGATGAGCATCTACTATCTCCACGATGGTCATTGCACCAAGCAAGAAAAAGACTATCTCACTGACTTCAGCTGATGCATGTCTCAGCTCTGAGACAGCTACATCAGTTGATGGAGCCTAGGCAAGTAGAAATATGAAATATCATAACTAATATAACTAACAAAATATAAAAAAATCATAAAACAAAACTTCAGTCAAGGGAATATGAAACAGTGATTGCCTACCAACAAACAAAAAAGAAAGTAAACAGCTCAATGTGACATTTAAGCATTGGAATTCAGAATGTACTTTCGCATGGAGACTTAAAAAAGTAGCAAGAAATGTACAGTACAAGAGCAACTGTCAAGAACCTTCTCCATCATCTGACTCAGAGACTAGAGGATAGTAAAAGGTGCTTTAATTAAGAATTCCTTCGCTTATTAGCTTCCACAGTCAAGAAAGAATTAGCCTAGTTAAATGCAATAGTCGCATGGACAATAGCTTAGACGTAGATGGCTACAGAAGAAACAGATAGGCAAGTCAATGTAGCCAATTGTTAGTGACTTCGTGCTTGACAAACACACCACTATTCATCAACTTCTTGGAAGATAGAAAATTTTTCACAGGCTTCCTAGCCAAGAGAAGGAAAGGCCAAACGCAAGGAGAAACATAAATAAATGATCAGAGCTTAAGCTAAGTGGTGTTCGTAGACCATAATTTTCCTGTTGAATATCGCAAAACAAAAGAAATACCATGAGAAAGATATCTGGAGCCTTCCTAGAAATAGCACTAAAGCCTCCCCTGACACACTAGCAATTTCTCAGAAAGAAACGATTTTCAACAGAAATTTTGCCATACTAATGAATAAAAACTTAATTCAGAATCTGCATCTACTTTGTGTGCCTTAAGGTTTGCCAGGGAAGACTTCTCCTACATATGCTAAATGTTTCAAGATCTACGAGCTGGAGGAGTATTAAATATTAAGGTGGTTTCAAAAGCAGCTGTCCTGCATATGGCATACTGAATTTATCAGGAAACAAAAGGAAAGAAATGACTTCTAGCATGGCATGATTCGTAAACACATATGTAACTTCACCTTTTTAATTTGGCAGTCACACTCCCAAATTTAGATTAAGATTCAACTAGAATAGCGAGAAGAGAAACATTTAAACAAACATGCTACCACATCATGCTTCAAATAAATTTTGGCCTGTTATGGGCCAAATGGTAAGGAGAATGTTCATGTCAGTATAAATAAACAATTAAGGATGAGCCAATCTACAATTAAAGTAACTGGCTGGCATAGACATCAATAACCACAACTTTATTTGAAGCTTACCCCAATACTTCGCACTACCCATAAGCTCACAGCCATCAATAATCCCACTCCACTTTTATTGAAGGCTAAAGATTCTTCGAAGATTATGCCTGCGTATCCTAATACAAATAAAATTGCCATAGCAAGATCCTGTATCACAATATGAACAAAATTAAACAAAAATATGAGTTATTCACACTAATATGTAAGAAAGTCTTTGCCACATAATGGGCATCCAATATATCAAAATTCCGAAAAAAGGAAACTGGCAACAGAGCAGGGGTCAAACCGACCTGATTGGCAGCAACCCATGAGTGGTTAATGGCTACAGCTCCTGTGGCAGCTGCAGCAAAAATTGCTAGAGCTTTTACCAAATCAGTCTTCGGTTGATATGAAACTTCAAATTCCTGTGAGCTTACTTCATCAACTGAACATAGGGGATCACATGACCCAGATGATGTAAGGTCCTAATGATACAGCAGCAGGTCAACGTAATGTCAACACTAATTTCATTATATAGTATGTCAGAGAGTTTCTTTAAGCAGATTAACAATGCTTTAACTTCCACATACAAGAAGCGCAGAATCGAATGCGGTCACTACTATTTAAGTGAGTGCATTAGCAGACTCTACTGCGTACAGAAAACTAGAACAAATTACTACAGTTATCCTCAGCCAGAACTTCTTTCTTTAAGACACATCCTTTCCTATATCTACGTCGCATTACACTTGTTAATGCAATATTCCATGGTCTTTGGGATCCAATACCATAATCTTCCAACTATTGCCTCTTTCAAAAACTAAAGACCACAAACATTCATTTCTGTCCCTCAACTGCTCTACATCATAAAGCAGAAACTTAATCAGTGAAAGCATTTTTTTCCCTCGTCCTGCATCGGCCAAGACGAGAAACAGTCAAATTGCATAAGAGACATGAAGGTCGACTGATTGTCCCACTGGGCTCTCAAGAAACAGAGCAAATCAACTAGTGTAAGTATCCACATTCAATTAGAGCCATTCATGATAAACCAGAGGCACCGTCAAGTGTAACTCAATCTTCCTCATAAGCCCCAATATCTTTGGAAACACAATTCATCTCACAGGTCACAAGATCACACGACCGGGGTTGTACTACTGAAGAAGTCAGATTATCAGAAGAAAAGAACAGGCCCAGGACAACCTTGACCCGCTCCTCCGAATTGGGTTGAGCTTGCCGTTGCTGAACCGAAGACGACGGCGGCGGCGACGGCGGCGACGACCCTTTGGCTTTCTCTTCGGCTCGAGCAAGAATGCCACTCCGGAGCAGCCTCGAGCTCCTGGAGCCGCACAGGGGCGAGCCGAACAGAGGCTTGGAAGAGGGCAGTGAAGGGTATGCGCGGAGGAGCGAAATGGGTGACGGCGGAAGCAATTCGCGCCGCGGGAAGGGGCGGGAAGGGGAGACATGGGTGGTCCCGGCTGAGAAACACGCCATTAAAGTTTCGATCTTTTTTTCCTGTAGAGATCGAAGCTATACCCAGAAAAGGTTTGCGCTTTGGATTATTTTCTTGAAGTGATGAAGCTGATTTGATGAGGGAAGACTCAAGACGCAAGAATCTGGGAAAGGATAAACGAAAGAAGCGTCGTTTGGGAGAGAGAGAGAGAGAGAGGGCAGTGAGAATGGCTGGCCACGCTCTCCCTGGCTCGCGGGAGGGTGTGGGATTAGTGAATCCTGGCCGTGGAGATAGTGATTCCTTGGCATTGATTAGCGCGCCCCAATTTTTATAAGGTCCCGGGTCGGGCTTTAATCACGTTCCTTCCCGCTAAGTAAGGGTGAGCGATTCCAAGTTCCGCAGATTCTATCTGGAATCTGGAATCTGCCCATTGAAACAGATTTATCATTTTTTTGGAGCTTAGAATCTACCATGTCATAGATTCCAATGTCTACTCAAATTCCACTTGTATTATTAATTGAATGATTGTAATGAATTATTACATTTAATTACCACCACTTGCTATTATAATTTACTGATCACAACTTATATTTAGGCACACGAAGAATATGAAATATTAACAAAGTAAAAGCCTCAATCAGAAAATAAAAATTCAGACTAGTGATTCAAAATTATATGCTCATCATCGAAAGCCGTGGAATACCGTAAGATCACGCGAAGATATAAATCAAGAAATACACATAAACCTAGGTTCCCCAATTTTTAGAATTTGAAATCGAATAGGTTTCCACTAATTCGATTCTCCAGTTTAACCATGCTTTTTCCTACCACCAGGTACTTGATAGGTCGGTCAATAAGCAAGAAGAAAAATCCAAAAAAGAAAACTTGTTTTAAATCTGGTGTCTTGCAATCTTTGGTCCTTAGATAAGTGAGAAAAAAATGATTGTCAAGTGGTAAACAAACGAAGAAAAGGCCCATAAGAAACCATTTTGTTGAATCATATAGTAGAGAACATTAAATTTGAACATTTTATGACCAAATTTTTTTTTTCATGCATTGGACACACAACTTGGCAATTAAAACTAGTAGAATTATCTGGACAATCATAAGGACTTGGTCTTAAAAATCTAATTAATCTCTGAACCTACTTGTATCAGTCTAATTAGCATGTAATTTACGTGAGCTTATTAAAATATTCTTGATATGCAAACGTAATTTAGTAATTTTTTTAGAGGTCGGGTTTGACTCCTAATTTTCTTATGCAATATATGACTAAACGGGTCGCCAAAATTTATATATCAATTAAAATTTCATTAAAAAAGGGGTAATATCACAAAAAACTCCAAACCGATATACCCGTGACAAATTTATCCCAAACTTATTTTTACCATAAAAAACCTCAATCTGGTACACCTGTGACAAATTTACTATATGTTAGTTTCCGTTAAATTTTACTGTCAAATTACTTAGTTAAATTACATGTGGCAATTGACAGATGTACCGGTTTGAGGTTTTACTCTCCGTTTGTCGCAGGTGTTTGAGTTTGTATTTTTTTTTATTAATCCAATTTAACGGAGGGTAAAGTTGTTACAAGTATACCGGTTTAGGATTTTTGGTGGTCAAAATATAAGTTTGAGGTAAATTTATCATGAGTACACTAGTTTTGAGTTTTTAAAAAGGACACGTAGGATGAATAATCGGAGACATTTAAGTAATTGTTTTTCCACCAATGTGGAACTCAAGTGATCACTAGTAAAGTTTGGTACCGAAGTTAACACTGTATAAAAATCATAACACTTTTCATGTTATATTCCCTTAGAATGCGTTCCTTTTATTTTATTTAAAGATAATGACACAAACAGTCCTTAAACTTTGACCATTCAATTGGTCCACGAACTTTTAATTTGTTCGATATAATCCTTAAATTTTAACTTAATATTTAATGCGGTTCTTGAACTTTTAATTTGTTCAATGTCATCTCTGAAATTTTTATATATGTTACAAAAATTTCAAAGACTACATTAAACAAATTAAATATTGAGGGATTACATTCCGCATTGAGTTAAAGTTCAGGAACAGCATTGAACAAATTAAAAATACAGAGATCACGTTGCATATTGAGCCAAAGTTCAATAATTGTTTGTGTCATTTTCCCTTTTATTTACTCGATATATATTTTTATTAACTATACAGCTTTGAGTGAAAAGTATTATGGAGCACTAAAAAAAACAAAAAACATTTAGACGGGATAAATGTTGTTTAATGAAAATGACGCTAAATAAACATTTTATTATCAGCCGTAACCAAGTATTGCCTTTTATTAAGAAATATTTAACAAAATCATAAAACACACACACACATATATATATATATATATATATTAAATAATTCTACTTTTTGAAAATTACAATAGAAGTCACGAACTTGCGCACGGCAGAACCCTACAATCACCCGCGCCACCCTCCAACAGAAAGTGAAGGCGGCGGAGCAGCTCGCAGCCTCCAACCCTAAGCTCTCGCCGCCGCCGCCGCCGCCGCCGCCGTCACCGTCGGAAACCCTAGGCTCGAGACCACGCTTCACTGGCAATGGCGGGGGGCAAGGTGAGGAAGGACAAGCCCAAGGCCAAGGCCAAGGCCGCCGCGGCGCCGTACCAGGGGGGCATCTCGTTCCACAAGTCGAAGGGCCAGCACATCCTGAAGAACCCGCTCCTGGTCGACTCCATCGTCCAGAAATCCGGGATCAAGGCCACCGACGTCGTCCTCGAGATCGGTCCCGGTACCGGTAACCTCACCAAGAAGCTCCTTGACGCCGGCAAGTCCGTCGTCGCCGTCGAGCTCGACCCCCGCATGGTCCTCGAGCTCCAGCGCCGGTTTCAGGGCACGCCTTACTCGCACCGCTTGAAGGTAAATTGATTATTGAAATCGAAATTTATCCGGGAAGGTTTTGGACTTTGTCGGCGAAAAGAAGGGTCTTTGTGCGTGAATTTGCAATTTTGAGTAAATTTGCAATTTTGAACAGACTTTGAGGAGTTGAAAGGGTTTTGATGGGCATATGAATTGACTTGCGTTGTTGGTGCTTTGTTTTTGGAACTTCCTACTTTATCAGCACTTAGCATTAAACAACGTTAATTGGTAAGAATTCTTAAGATTTTGTAGCTTCAATCTATCTTGCTCTGTGAAGAAGTCATAAGGATGGCTCTGTTACGTTGCATCTATGGTTGGTTAACAGACTCGACATGTTGGTAGAGCTTTATACAGCAGATTGTTCAAGCTATACCAGCAAGACTAGTTTTTGTGTTTGCAAAAGGGTCTGAATCAAACGTCACACGCTAGGCACTGACGATGAATTGGTGTTCTTCCCCGTGAAAATCGTAACGCGTGTAATAATTGATTGCTTGAGTCGTGAAGATTATACGGCTGTCCTGTTTTTATCGGTTTCTGAGAATGTATATCACTGCTCTTGATTGCATGCTTGTTCTGCTTCATTGAGCGGTGGAAATTGCAAGGCTGCTCTTTGATTGCTTTGTGTTCCTTTAAAGATCATTGTAATTTTTCTTTAAAACGGCTGTTGGAGATGATCAAAGTTTCTCTCTCCAAATTTCACATACACAGGTTATCCAGGGCGATGTGTTGAAGACTGATCTACCCTACTTTGACATATGCGTGGCCAACATTCCTTACCAGATCTCCTCTCCCCTCACATTCAAGTTATTGAACCACCAACCGCCCTTCAGGTGTGCGGTGATTATGTTTCAGAGGGAATTCGCAATGAGACTGGTTGCTCAACCCGGTGATAATCTCTATTGCCGTCTCTCTGCAAACACCCAACTGCGTGCTCGAGTCTCTCATCTCCTCAAAGTCGGAAAGAATAACTTCCGGCCGCCACCAAAGGTGGACTCATCTGTGGTTAGAATCGAGCCACGAAAACCGGCTCCTGACGCAAATCTCGTGAGAGAGTTTGATGGGTTGATGCGCATATGTTTCAATCGGAAGAACAAAACACTGGGTTCCATTTTCAGGCAGAAGACAATCCTTTCGGTGATGGAGAAGAATTATAAGACTCTCCAGGCGTTACAACAATCGCAGAGTAATTTATCAGGGGATTCAAATGTTGGAATGGACAGTTTGGATTTTGGAGATAATGGGGATGACTTGAGGATGGAGGTCGATGACGGTGGAGACGACGAGATGGAGTTGGAGGATGGCGACGGAGGGGAAGTGTCCGAATTTAAGGCGAAAGTTTTGAATGTGTTGAAGGAGGGGGATTTTGAAGAGAAACGATCATCCAAGCTTACGCAGCAGGAGTTCTTGTACCTGCTCTCCTTGTTTAATAAGGCTGGTATACATTTCTCTTGAAGAGTGTTGCAATTCTGAGGTATGCAATTTTGGCGATGTTTAGTTTCACAGCTTTTAAATGTAAGAGTGAGGAAGAAGTCCTTGTTGACTTACTTGATTAGTTATCATCTACATGTTGCAATTTTACGATAAGAATTTTAACTTAGCGGCTCCTGCTAGTACTTATTACACCAGCTGAGATTACACTGCTGCTAGTACTTATTACCCCAGCTGAGATTACACTGCCCCTCTCTCTCTCTCTCTCTCTTCCCTAACCATGCCTTTTATCAGACAAACTGCCCTTATGATGTTCTTGTTTTTCCCTTCTTTTTCACACCGCTGCTGATGCGAGGTGTTGATAGTAAAAAAAGAAGCAAGATTCTGTCTGGGGATTTAACATTTACTCTCTCTGAATCCTTGATACCGTTCTTGTTATCGACTTTGGAGGAACTAGATGAGAGACAATAAGCTCGTTAGCTAAAATCACGAGATTGTTTTGATTAAGTGAGGTGGGATATTGAAGTGGCACGGATGTAGCTGAAACCTTATTTCAGTTCACGGTTAGGAAGTATGGTATAGTCTCCCATTGCACGCCTGTTACTGCAGAAAACTAGCACGACACAGTTCGCGGGCGGCTAGCTCCGTCTACATCAACCGAACTATATGAAAGATCAACGGGGGTTGTCGCCAAGGGCTTCCTTGCGTCTTCTACTGTGCGCTTGCAAATTAGTTCCTGCCCTGCGATTTAGATTTGGCTAAGATCCCCTGGCTTGCAAGATTTTCTATGTTTCGGCTTATCAGTGATTCAGTCGCTCGTCTAGTTGCCGGTGCCATATTGGTTCGAGCACATCCAAACTGGCTTGAGCTTGACCAAGTTTTCAGTGATTTGTCCGTCGTAATTTTGTATACCCCTTCAATTACCGCCTTTGTTCCTGGCGATGTTACGGCTGCACTCGGCTTTAACATCGTCCCGTGCTCACGACGTAGGTCCACCGGCATGCTTCTTTTGCTTATCCCAGCTTGGCTTTCTTCCCTCACCCGCGAGCTTATGTCATCGAGCTTCAGACATCGCTTGTTCGAGTCACAGACACAACTCCAACCATGGATAGACAAAAGAAGCGCATACCCTCCAATGGGTTGTTTATATTGCGGCCCCCCGCGGAGACATTTCCGGTTCATTTGTTTGACCTAATATCAAGACACCACGAATTTGAGAACTGTGGATGCAAACAAAATTTCGTATTTCTTTTCCTCACTGGAGTTTCTTTAGATTTGCCTATCGATTGAAAAGTATAACATGATCACTCTGTCGACGGTTTTCCGTAATCTTGAGCCATGATCTCAACATGGAAAAGGTGAAAATAGTAGGTATGGAACGTTAATTGCATTTTTTTAAATATATCATGACTCAATTATACTTTCGTGATAAATTTTAAAATTTAATTACGTATTTTTTTATCACAATCGTAAGTCTCAATTGCGCGCATGTACCTATTTCATGTTTTTTTTCTTCCCAATCTTTTCTGGGGGAAAAGCTAAAAATACCTGACGGTCACGCAGCAACGAGACACGTGTCCCAATCCCCTTCTCTGGGTGAATGGGTGGACATCGTCATCATCATCTTCTTGCTTTCGCTCTCTTTCTTCCCTCCCTCCCTCCGATGCTTCGCAGTTGCAGAAGCAGATAAAATTCTCGAAGCTCGTCTTGTCGCCTCACAATTCTCTCTCTATCTCTGTCTGACATGGCCGCAGCTCAAGTCTCTGCTTCGCTCTCCGTCTCTGCTCGCGGTACCCTTTTCTTCATCTCTCTCCGCGGCAATTTGTCTCCATTGTCATCTCTCTTATGAAGCTCTGCACCGGTTCAACCCTCCGCTTTTGTCTTGTTTGGCCGCAGATTTCTGCGCTGTCGTCGGCCCGCCGAGAACCACCGTCATCCCTCGGGTTCGGCTCCCGGGCCGCGGTCCGAGCGGCGCCACTTTCGCCACCGGTTCTCCTCTGGGTAAGCATTCCCGAATTCGAATGAGTGTCGGGTCATGTTAGTGTCAACGGACCAGCTCAAGCTGTTGTCTGAATTGGGCGAGAGAGCTTCGCGGCTGAAATGATGACAGTTGACGTTGAGAACGGAGGAAGTGAGTGAGGTGGGTGAGGCTGCTTTGGTTGTTATGTCAGACTAATTAGGTGCTAATGAATTAGTGGCCCAGTTGAGTGAAGAAGAGTGATTTCTTCATGAGAGTCTCCATGAACTATTGAGCTGAGCTGGCTTTGAAGCCTAATGGGTTCCAACTTCCAACCAAGCTGACTTGTTTTCTGATCTGAAATCAGGTTTAAATTCGCTTCGAGAAAACCCATCAGCCCAACAGACTGTCTGGCATTGCTATGCAGATAGTTGCTACTTGTTTTTCCTGTACCGCTGTATCCTTCGGATCATTATCGAGGACCACATGTTCTTACCTTTATAACTGTTTAAAGTTTGTGCAATACTCTGTAGCATCATTAGCATTAGTGAATTTGGTAATGTGTGCACTAATGACATGTTAGCAACGACATGTATTAGTGTATGTCCTTCTATATTTGGATGCTGGAAATTCTCTCAATCTGCTGAAATTAGAAATGCCTTTGTGTTGCAACATTGATGGCTAGTCACTACACCACATGCTGATGTTTCTTCGTCTTTTCTTTCTCTTGGTCAAATGCAGCAGTAAGGAGATCCTCCTCTATTAGAAAATCTGCAAGCAAGGCAGCAGCAGTATCCATTAGGTGTGAGCAGAATACTCAAGAGGGGAACAGTTTAGATGTATGGCTGGGCCGTCTTGCAATGGTTGGATTTGCTGCGGCAATCAGTGTTGAAATAGGAACAGGCAAGGGACTTTTGGAGGTATGGGTGGCACATGGTCTGAATTTTAAATCGAAACTGCCAAATAGCATTCTTTTCCTATTGTGGTTTCTGCCTTTGGGTACTCATCAATTACAGATACTTTTTATGTTAAGATCCATGCCGCATAAAGTCATATCGCAGCTTGTCAAGATAAGTAATTGTGTTGGGACTTATGGTCTTTTTCTTTTCCTGCTAAAGAAGAAAAAATAGCGGGCATGGCTGCGGTGACATCTCTCCCTTTAAATTAACTTCGGAAGTCTGGCTGTGGATATTAACGTAGTTGGCAGTAATAGAACCTTAGTCCTAACTTTGGGTTATGAAAGGAACTTGTAGAAGTCTTTTTCTGAGATTTGAAGTATATCCTGGCTGAAGCTCCACCCTGGCACCAATTACAAATGCATGAGATGAGATACATATTATAAGTACTCAATAGATATTTTCTTGGCCTTGAAATTAATAGCCTTTTTGACTTTGTGTTTATTTACAGTTGATGTCAACAATGACTTGCGCTGTCAAAAACCAATAAGCTATTCTCAGGAGCTAAATTAGTATCTGTAATTTTGATGAGTCTGTTGGCAGATGAGAGAGCTTCTGTTTTATCTCGGAAGTTATTTCCTAGAATTCAGTTTACACAGCACAGAATAGAAGCTAATCAAATGAAGGTAGATATGTTTCTAGAAGTTAGTATTGCACAAACAGCTTCCTTTTGATTTTAGGTAAGGCTTTGTTGGAGTTCCTCACTGCTGTGAGGTGCAGTCCTAGCTACATAACTTACTATGTTCACAGTTTGAGAAGTATCTCACGAGATACTTTTGACTTCATCCCTGCAGAACTTTGGGCTGACATCCCCTTTGCCGACAGTCGCTTTGGCCGTTACAGCATTAGTGGGAGTCCTGACGGCAGTCTTTATCTTCCAGTCCGCCTCTAGCAAGTGATTGGATCCATGGTGATGTTTGTGTCTGTAAAGTTTGTTACTGTGAGGAGATTACTCAGTACATATTCTCTAGTTGTAATTTTTGTAAGGGACACATGTCATACGACTTTGTGACCGTAAAAGTAATGGAATTTTCTTCCCTCTTTCTTCTGATTTGCATTTCCTTTTACTTCATCTTTTTGCCTTTTTGACCATGGTTGGTGGGTATATCATTGCATTCTCTATGAAAGCAATTTTAGCTTTGTGCCTTTAGCTTCCTCTTGACACTGAGAATGCTGCTGAATCAACTCTCATGATCCAATTTATTCTTTTATCAAACAGGGTGAAGTAAAAAGAGGAATGACTCCATTAACCATTGTCGCATAGAAAATTACATTTTCCCCTTTAAGAGTTTGCCTATCTGTTTCTGGCATCATGGAGCCTTTCCCTTTAGATCTGGTATAGACGAGTTATCACATTGAAAAGGAAAGCCTGAACACTTCTGCTGAAATGGGCACTCAATATACATTTTATTTTTTAGCCTTTTCAAGTCTAAAGATATGCCTGGATACTTTAGAGGTAGTGTTGGTTATGTCAGTGATCGTGTGCCTTTAGATGTTGGCACTCGTACCCCTGCATCAATCAGGGTTTTAAGAGAATCGACTTTTCCTCTTCTTTATACAAGAATCAATTCCATTTCCCTTTTCTTGCAATTGCATCTCACAAGGTGCTTACTTTGTGAATAAGAGATCTTCTTAACAAAAGGTCTGATCTTTCCTCAACCATAGGCTTCCTTTCAAGTGGCCATTTTCCTTCATTTTCAAGTTGTTTCCCATCTCATTCTCGAGTCTACTCTCTTGACGGAACAATCTTACTCCATCTTTCTCTGTTCTTGCTCCCTCTCTGCACAAACTCCGAGCATGGGGGTTGCGATATCTAAATTTGCAAAGAGGTTTCTGAAGAAGAGTGCGCTGAGGATACTAATGGTGGGTCTTGATGCATCGGGCAAGACGACCATCCTGTACAAGCTGAAGTTAGGCGACGTCGTCCAAACAATACCAACCATCGGTACACACACCATTTACTTATGATGACTGAACCTTTTGGTCTTCCTTTTTTTCTCAACCGAAATCTTTTACCAGCATATCTAATCTAACTTTACCACTTATCTTTAAGCACACACTGTTTTGTGCTAATCTCTGAAATTAACATAATGACACATTGAAATCCAAAGCATGTAGATGGGATATCAGAAGAAGATTGTAAATTACGGAAAGGAAAAAGTCTAAATCTTTCATAGTGAGTACAGGTCAGTCATCATATGTTATAATTCTCTACTGGGCAGGTTTCAACGTAGACACAGTAGAGTACAGGGATATCAATTTTAATATTTGGGATGTTGGAGGGCAGGATAAGGTAATACGACTTCTGTCTTTAAATGTTCAGACTTGTTGCGTTTGAGATAGATTCTGAAGCTGTACAAGATTACATTCCTGTTGTGTGGTTAGAGCATCGCCCCTTGGGAAAAAGAGTACTAAGCACCTCATCTTGTTGCGTTTGATATAGATTCTGAGGCTGTAGAAGATTACATTCCTGTTTTGTGATTAGAGCATCTCACCTGGGAAAAACAGAGTACTAAGCAAGCACCTAGTGCTCACAAGATGCTGTCGGCGACTTATAAATGCGACAACCTTCACCATTGCATAAATTCCCAAACCACATGGGCTCCATATTGAGTACGCACACCGGCGACCCGGACATCTAGCAATCAAGTGGGACCCACGTGGACACCACCGAAGTGATGGTGTCTAGGTGCACGGTGCAGTTGATTGCAAGTCCACCTAAATATACCTAATTTCGAAAGAGTCTGATTCACAAAGTCTATTACGTGACAAGTGACTACTTTTAAGAGGTTAGTAGCGAAAATCTGGTCAAAAAGCCATCCAACGTTTTTCCATGGAAGTGAAAGTTTTATGGCATAATCACATACAGCATTAGGAAGCCCTTTCTTGGCCACCATGTCCTTGACTGAAAGATGTCGAGTATTATACCGTGTTTTCGAAGTCGGTTGCATGCTTAGTTGATATGGAGACTCCTGCGTACCAGATCCGGCCTCTGTGGAGACACTACTTCCAGAATGCACAAGGACTCATCTTTGTGGTGGACAGCACCGACAGAGAGCGGATTGGCGAAGCTCGGAGCGAGTTGCATAAGATCCTAAGTGAGGTCAGTCACTAGGTCATGTATATATATTGTTCTAAGACAATCACAGTAGCTCTGTTATCATCCTCTGCGTTGCATTGATGCTGCTGGTCTTCACCATTTGAAAGTGGAATGCCCTCAAAGCAACTCGGAATGAAGCAATGGCCTGCTTATTGTCAATGAGCTATGAGGCAAAGTTCAAAAAGCATATAGTTTTATGCAGAAGAGAAACAAAATAGGAGAAACAGATGCATAACTGTCTTGAGTTCACGTCCTTCAGAGGGTACTCATTTATAATCAGCAATTGCAAGGTCTCCGGGCCTTGGCGTTACGTTAAAATTAATTGCATGTCACAGTACATCATTTTCTTTGGCAGAAGGAATTGAGTAATGCAGCTCTTCTTGTATTTGCCAACAAGCAAGACCTGCAGGAACCTATGCACGCCTCCGAAATAGCCGACAAACTCGGCCTGCATTCACTCGGTCAGCGTCACTGGTAAGCTTTAGTTTTGTCATTCACCGAAGGAAAAGGCTTTGTGCGAGTTACAGATCGGTTTCGTCTCAACTGTTGTTGTCTAAGATAAATATTTTGTTCAGGTATATACAGAGCACTTCTGCCACCTCTGGACAGGGACTCTATGAAGGCCTCGATTGGTTGCATAACAACATCCCCTGCAAGGCCATGTAGAAGGGTCTCTTGCTCGACTCTTCAGCAGCAGAAACTTTTACAAACATACACAGAGCAGATTGACGAATGGAATCTATGCTGCATCTTTCTCGAGCCGTATACAAGCCATTTATAAGCAAACCGAACTTCCAAGACATCATCAAACCTTAAAGTGCAAGTTAAAGAAAAGCAGAATCAATTCTTTTTTTGGTCAGGGTCATTGTGATTGGCCGCAGTGATAATTGTAAACTGTATTCTCAGTTCGGTCTTGCATATGGTGGCAAACGAATACCAAGAGTTTCACCAATTCAATGAATGCCCAAATAATTAGTGTAGGTTTATTTATTATTTGCCAAATCTTGTCAGCTTAGCAGATTTTTGCCAATCCATCATTGAATCCCTAACACATCACACAAAATGCATCTTTTCTCCTAAAGACAACGGGAGATTTCTTTATGAAGAATCTGAGTAGAAATGATCTGAATCAGAATGGGATAGGCGCTTTAAAACATTCAGAACAAGAAATCATACCACAAAGTCAGGACTATGGTCAATTTCTGTACAGCACTACCAGATGACAAAGACTTGTGTCTTGGTGGAAGCAAGCGTGCCCGCTCATTTTGGTAGTCATCGTCTTCAAAATAAGGAAAAGGGCAAACGGGCAACAGGAAAATTCTACCAACCCACACGCGCATCATTTTACTTTCATCTTCGGAGCCGACAAAAAGATCTTCTCAGCCATGAGATGTGGATTTAGATCTCCATTGATTGACTTGCAGAAGCGGCCTTTGATTTCTTGCTTTTGCTCTTCTTTCCACCAGTTTTATTCTTCTTCTTGGGTTTCTCATCCAAAACAGGTTGTGTGCTCTCCAAGTGCTGTTGAATGGCGGCCAGAGGATTTGATTGGAAAGCCGGGTGGTTAAGGACTGTACTCAACTGCTTCCCTTCCTTCAATCTGAAAAAGAGGAAATTGAAACGGCTGCTACTTAGAATTTTTTAAAAAAAAAAAGAAGAATAATCCCGCAATAGGATATTTTAGGCAGTTTGAGAGAGCAGTGCGAAACACTTACATTAGCTTCCCCCTAGATCTGCAACTGAGCCTGATCTCAGTGGGTGGACATGGTTGCTTGGTATCTGTCTCAGGAAGGAACTCGGAGAGGGCAGAGAGGTCGTATGCTTTCAACTTCTTCTGCCGGCTTCTCAATTTCTTCTTCTGTCATAACAACACAAATGTGTTAGCATGCGTACCTTGATTTTTAAACACTGTATTCGCATTGCAGAGAGCTTTATACCAAAGACGCATCATCTAGTCAAACATTACGTCATGTATGCACTAACTAACGAGCAGATATTAATCAATCTAGCTAACACAATTCAATCTGTGTCAAGCCGTTGTTGGGTTTCCATCAGGAGATATGTGTTTATGAAGTCAAAGCTCCTATTTTCTAGTGAGTGCAAAAACTGTACCGGATGGGAAGAATAGGATAAAATAACTAAAACATGAAGGCCTTCATTGGGTTAAGATCGATGTGAGAAACCCATCTTTGGCAACAGCATCAGAAGGATTTCAGCAAAATATATCCTATTGGCGGCTTCACCTAACAAATCCTGTTGTAACGCTCCATGTTTCTTCAATACAGGATGGGTAGGATAAGATAAAATAACTAAAACACGAGGGCCGTGATTAGGTTACGATCAATGGCAGAAACCTATCTTTGCCAACAGCATCAGAACGATTTCAGTAAAATATATCTTATTAGTGGCTTCATCTAACAAATTCTCTTATAACACTTCATGTTTCTTCAATTATTCTAGCAATCAAATCTCCTCGTTACTCAACCTCTACAGAATCAAGCCATAACATACGTCTAAGATAATCAAATTATTCTTTGCTTTACACATAACATGGTTCTACACTTGAAAAGGAGAAGACATCACAACGGAAACAAGCAACAGTTTCCGAATCAAGTGGATTAGCTGTAGCTTAATGAAGTAAAGACAGAATTGACATAGCTTATAGTTCCAATATCATTGACTCCAATTAAAGTGACAAAGGCAACTGTAGCATACATATTGCAATTTACGTTATTAAACTGACAGATTCATCAGGCCATGATGCTTATATTAGAAAATGGCGACAGGAGTACCATCTCTTTTTTGTTCGGATGTTGTCCTTTTGTCTTTTATTCACAGAAAAAGGAAATAGAGCAGCCCGCTATCCCTTCAATTCTTCCAACCAATATACATGAGTCATCCCGTATTGTTAGTAGGAACTTTGTTTGGTCACAGAGCACATTCATGCTTCCCTTTCAACTTACGGTGAAGACGGAAAGAGCTGGCGGTTCCCTTAATTTCATTTTTCTGGAAGCAGACATCAAACTCTTGACAAGAGATTGGAGGACCGCCAAAAGCTATTTTTATGTTCACAGACTGATGTGCGAAGAATAGTGAATTACAGCGAATAACTCAAACCCCTCCACAACCATATCCCTTAGTGATCATTCTCTGAATGCCAAAATTATACACTTATCTGAGACCGCATGTAAACAACAATACGAGGAGCAAGTATTCGCATGTATATAAGCAACCATGCCCGACGCCCGACAAAGCAGGGTCGAGAACAGGATAACAAGAGGGTGTCATGTCAAGAACAAGTTGAAACAAACTGGGGCATAAGTTGACAGAAACTCACCTTGCCAATACCACTTTTTGCACTCAAAGAAGCCACAGTATCTCTAACCTCTGTATCAAAGCAAAACAAAGGGCTTCACTTCACATATAATCACACCCCCAATAAATCAAAAGGAAAGAAAAAACATTGCATATTCCAGACAAAGATGAAACATCACCGCTCATGCGACAGCTAAATTATTACAACGATCAACGCAATTCTCATGAATCCCCCCTAAAAGAAGGAAAAAAACATCAAATTTTCTACCAGTCATATACAAGAACGGGCTGAACATTACTAGCATAAAACTGGAGCTTCTTCTCGAACTTGCGATCAGCTTTCGCTGCTAAATCCGACCTGCAAAAGATCGGAACCGTTAACACACGAACAATGTCTCAGAATGCACATAGCATCGGAAAACCAGGAAACCCACCGAGAGCCGGGCTTGCCCATGATTGCTAGTCCCCCGAGCTTTCCCGAGCGGGCGACGAACGCCTGCTTGCTTTCGCTTCGCACCCAGAATGCAGAACACGGCGTTCAATTTGCATCCCCAAGAACTGAAAACTAAGAATTTGGAGCGACCCTCTATAGGGTTCATGCCGTACCTTTGGGAAGAGAAGTCGCCGGAAAAGTTTTGGGTTTCGTCGGAAGCGCAAGCCGCCGCAGCGGCGAGAAGTTGCGGAGCCGGAGGTTGAAGAAGACCTAAGGATGGCGGAAGCAGAGCGGAACTATGCTGTGCCGTGGAAGCTCTAATTTGCTGGGGGTTTGAAGTATTGTAGTTTTCTTTTTCTTTTTTTATATATGATTTCTCTTTGAAAGAAAATCTTGTGCTGCTCAAGAAAAAGATTTTTCAGCTTTCTTGGTAATGAAAATATAAGGATTTTTCTAATTTAATTTCTTTTATCTTTGGAAAAATGTACAATTATGATAAATTTACTAAAAACTAAATTTTTGACTATCAAAAACTCCAAACTTATATAACTGAGAAGAATTTACCATCCATTAATTTCCGTTAAATTTCACCGTCAAATTACTAAGTTGAATGTACGTGACAGTTGACAAGTGTACCAATTTGAGGTTTTACCCTCCATTTGTGACAAGTGTACCGGTTTATAATTTTTCGTGGTATTAATCCAAATTAACGAAAATTAACGGAATATAAATTTGTCATAGGTGTATCAGTTTGGAATTTTTAGTGGTAAAAAAACTATACCAGTTTGGAATTTTCGTGGTATTAACTCTCGAAAAAGTGACTAAAAATTCATGAACCGATCGGAAGCCAATTGAGTTTAGCTTTAAACATAACTAGACACGAACACGCGCATTGCGCGGAAAATGCCTGTATAACCATATAATAACACTATCTTGAAGATTGTCTCTAAAAGTGATGCAGTGTTCTCTAACTCAAGTCTAAAAGTGCATTAATTTGAAGGACCGACTTCATATATTTATTGAAGGGTGTTAATTTTTTTTAATTGGAGGAGGTTGTTCACTTTGCTTTCTCTTGTATCTTCACAAGCCCGTCGTCAGCCGGCAACCGACTAGTCCCTCGTCTGGCAGGACAAACACTCCGGCCTCGACCATATCCCGATAACGGGCAATGGCAGATTGAACTTGGAACCTCCGACTTTAGTAAACCAAATCTCTATTTAAAGGGAAAAAAAAGAGAAGAAAATTTGCTAAATCTTTATTATTTAGGACTTCCGATTTAAAATTGTAATTAAATGTGATTTGCCTATGTCAGTAGAACCCGAAATTTACATGTACAAACAACAAATAAGTTTTCAGTGGCTCGATCGACCTTGAATTTCTATGTTTAGAAAGAGACAGACTGATGTAAAAGATTAACACAACTATATTGAAAAGGACTGGTGGAAGCGTTAGAATATGTAATGCATTGAAGATGCGGTAGGTAGACACGTGAATTGTCAGTGAGTACACGGGTGGTCATGCACTAGCAACCTAGACTTGACGCATCAAACATCAATTTCGCTATAGATTGTAGATATATGGATTGTGATGTACACTATAGAGTAGGAAACATTAATGCATCCATAAATATAGTTCGACACACTAGATATTGGTCAAGTATGCCATATTTTCCGAGGTTGTCACTTGTCACTAAGTTAGCCATTCATATGAATCACCAAACATCTAAAACGGCAAAGGACATTAGCGTCAACAGGTTCGTATGATGCTCACTTTAGCACTAAAAGTTTTTGCCGAATTACTTAAGTGCCAAATCGGAGAAAAAAGAATTACTTAAGTGCGAACAACGAGGTGGCCTTGATCACAAAATGATGCCGCTTAACAATTTAATTTCTCTTTCTCTCTCCCTCTCTCTTGCCGCTCCTCCGCCATGCGCCTTGTCAAATTATCACCACTTGTGACGACGACGTCGTTGGCGAGGCTACATTTTTTGCCGTTGCTTTTGCCGTTGCCTTGTCTCTCCTCTTGCACTTCTTTTCCTCCCAAACATTGCTGTTTCGCTTCCAGCTCGGCGGCGTCGACGCTTTCCTGGGGAAAAGAACGGAGATCGGATCGAATCTCTAAAAACTCGAAATCGAGGGGAAAAATTGAAAATCGAGGCAACTTGAAAATGAACGAGGGTCGGATTTTTACCTCGGAGAGGATCTTCGACTCGGGGAAATTGGCTAGGCTCCCATCTTTATTGTCCAAAGTCGACATGGAGGAAGTCACGATTTTTTAGTGTCCCGGTGATTAATCCGGTCGATTGAAGTTCTGGCGTTTTGGAGGGGAAGACTGTGGCTTTGGGTGAAAATCGAATAAGCGTTTCGAATTTGGGGCAAAACATGTAGACAATGTCGTTTAGGGGTATATACGCTGATTGAAGCATGCCGTCGAGCCACGTCGGTTGGAAAAATTAATAGAATATGGCCACGTCAGATTTCCGACGATCTAAATCGGAGTTAGCATTCAAGTGATTTTTTTAAAGCGACACTTAAATGATCAAAAAAAAAAAAAACTTTTGACACCAAAATGAGCGTCATACGAAACTTTTTGCAATTTTAGCGTATTTATCCCATCTAAAAACCAACTGACTACCCCAACCAAAATGCAGCTAAACCCAAGACTCCACGGTTAGGACATAAGTCCTGCAATGGACTTTGCATTTTCTAATGATAATAAAAAAAAACCTAGTTAAGATCAATGGGAATTAACCCTTTTCATTTGTCCTAGGCGAGAGAAAAGGAGCGCGTGCCGGTGAAAAAACGCGAAGTCTGAAATAATTGAATGGGTGTAGGAATACAAGGTAGGGATCTATATTCGAATTCTCGATGTACTCAACCTCTCCAAGGGTGCATTCAAACTACGCAGTCCATGTGTATCGAATAAAACTCCAACGAAATCAAGCTTGACTGATTATTAATCGGATAATGACACAAACAATTAGGGGTATGCAAAAGAATTGGGAATCGCCCAGACTACCTAGAACCGGACCGGAACCAGTGGTTCCTAAGGGAACCGGTGGGTACCAGTCCGGTTCCCGGTTCTAGGCGTGGAACCGCCCGCCCACCCGGACCGGACAGGTAATATAATAACAAATATAATATATTTATTTAAAATTTTATTTTTTAAAAAAGAAAAATCATAAATTCTTAAACTAAACCTAACTAGCTTGAAGTTTACAGCCTCACATTGAACCGAGAAACACCTTCTTTCGCTTTCACCTCACACTCACTCTCACTCTTTCACTCTTCTCGGTCGATGCTCAGCTCACTGTCTTCGACTCTCTATCTCCATCTTCGTCTTCGTCTTTCCGTCTCTGTCCTTGACTAGTGGGACTGGTTCCAATTTTTTGAAATCGGCCCTTAGTGGGCGGTTTCCGGTTCTAGGGTGGGAACTGCCCACCCGGACCATGCTCACCCCTACAAACAGTCAATGAATTTTGGCCAAATATGTAATTTTAATTTGTTCAATATAATCCCTGAACTTTAACTCAATGTGTAATATAATTCCCGAACTTTTAATTTGTTCAATGTCATTTCTGAACTTTTTGTACATGTTCAATTCAGTCCCTGAATTATATAAACATGTACCAAAAGTTCACGAATGATATTGAACAAATATGTTCAGGGACCACATTGAACATTAGCTTAAAGTTCAGGGACTATATTGAACAAATTAAAAGTTCAGGGATCAAATTGTACATTGGCCCAAAGTTTAGGGACTGTTCGTGTCATTATCTCATTATTAATCTATAAATTGGACCCACCAATTTGTAGAGGATAGAGTCAAACCGTGGACAATGCGGCGCTGACTGACGGTAAAATTTTGTAAATAAAATTGCAGAATGTTAGTCTCAAAAGCATCTTTTGACAGCTACTGATGCTGCGGTTCGATTTGAACAATTTGAACATTTGAACTCTACTGATTCGTATGATTATGTTATTGCCTCTTAAGCAGGCCTTGTCTCGACAAGTCAAAGTGAGTTTGGTGGAACATATTTTATGTCTCCCGACATCATCACTTGTAAATGCCAAAAAAATTTATTAAACAACATAGGAAAATGACGAGATGCTAATTATTTTTGTATTATTATAAGCCTGAGAGTGATTTTTGTCTGGTGGAATTAAATTATTGGAGCAGGTGATTTTGCCAGCTTGCTGCATAAGAGGTGGGATGGACAATAGACTACGGTCCAACATGCGGCGATTGCATTTGGTATGAGAGTTTGTGCTTGGTAGGGATCGACCGTGTGATTAAAGCTTGATTTGGAGGTTAAGAGATTCTATATTTGTAGTGCAATGTTATCCCTCTTTAGAATAATTTTAGAGGTAGTGTTTGCTTTCTCGTGAGTCCTGTGGGCGGTTTGCGTGTATTCGGTAGATGAGTCGAGTCAAAGGTTCGAATCATCGGATTATAATCGAAGCCCTTCGATATCGAATTTGACCAAATTTGGCTGACATGACTATTGGCTGATGCCGAAATATGATGCGACCTGCAGGTACTTGCATGGATGTGTGTGGAAAGATATAACCAATGTGGACAACGTCACAGCATGATGTGAATGAAATTTAGTCAATATAAACAACTACATGTGGACACGTGCTGGAAGAGTTTCATCCATGTCACACTATGACATCGGTGGATGGCTATGCCGGCTGGATTTAGTCGTATTTAATGTTAAAGGGACTTAATTAGGAAATTTGTGAAAGTAGAAGAGCTTGATCTTTTTTTTTTTTGATCGAAAGAAAATCGTATTCATTGCTCAAAAGGATATATGAGAAGTATAGTGATTTTCACGGCAAATAAAATCGAAGCAAAGCAAATCCCATAATACAACAAAATAAAGCCAAATCCAAAAAATAAGGAGGATCAACAGAGCACCGGTAGGGTTAAGCACATACTCATTCTATAAAAACGGATCTATCAAGCAAAATAATCGGCGGCCGATCACTAAATCTCGTATCACTATTAGTAATGAGTACATACCGGAAAGTCCTTCTCTAATAGCTACGGCATTGCCTGTTGGTGGTGCATGCCTAGGTTCGGCTTCCTTTACACCATCGCCGGATGGAGACAACCAAAACGGGTTGAAAAAACATAGATCTAACCTTTTGGAAGAACAAATCTTCGTGGTTCAGCAAAATGCTAAAGCTCCTATGATCATCAATAAAACCGAAGGCAGAGAACCTGTACACGGACAGAGAACGGGGTATCGAATCCCCGAAAACATTATTAAACTCCCCAAATCTAAATTAGGAGAGAAAAGCTCTTAGATCTAGAACTAAATTAGAAGAGTTCAAACTCTCAGATCTAGAATTAGACCGAGAGAAGAGAGTTCCCAGATTTAGATTGGGAGAGAAAAAAATAAGAAAATAAAAGAAAAACTCAAACAAAATCAACGGGAGGGGAGAGTGAGAATAGGAAGGGCTTGATCAGACAAGTTAAACGTGCGCGTATTTAATTAGAAAAAAGTGAGTATATTTGGACGACAAGCGTAACGTTTCCTATAAAAAAAATAGCTCGCTATTGGCTGATGTGAAAGTATGATGCGACAAAATCTGCAGGTACTTGCATGGACGTGTGTGGAAAGATTTCATCAATGTGGACAATATTAGAGTATGATGTCGATGAAATTTAGTCAATAGAAATGACTACATATGGGCACCTATGTTAGAAGAATTTCATCCTTGTGACACTACCATGTCGGTTGATGGTCATGTTGGATTTAGTCGGATTTAATGTTGAAGGGACTTAATTAGGAAATTTGTGAAAGTAAAAGGACTTGATCAGACAAGTTAAATGTGCAGGGATTTAATTAAAAAAAAGTGAGTATATACAGACGACAAGCACAAATTTTCCTATAAAAAAATAGCTCACTATTTTGGAATTTGGAGGAAGGATTGTCATGAAGTTTTTAATTATAATAATGAAGTTTCTTATGTAAAAATTTATGCTTTGTTTGTTTCACGGAAAATAAATGATATGAGAAACATTTCCTAAAAATGATCACTTGTATCACTTGAAATAATTTGTCAAGGAAAAATGTACTCATTATCAACAACAAATTAAATCTAAACATTTTCATGAAAAATAAAAAAAAATCGTTTATTTGTTTTTGTAAACAATATAAACGATCATTTTTTGAAAAATATTTTCTTAATTATTCAATTTCCACGAAATAAACACAAACAGAACTTTAATCAAACTCATTTTATTCTTCTAAAATCATAATAACCTCATTTGTCAATATACCTTAATCATCCCACCACTTTTTAAAGAGATTGAAGGTCAAAAGTCAACTAAAGTGGGGTCTCAATTTTTGTGTCCCAATGGAATAGTTCGATATTTTGGGTCAATTCCTTAGGGCCGGCCTGCCTTAAACATTGTGACTTCCAGCTGGTATGATTGGTATAGCACATAGAAAATTTAAGGAAAGAAAAAGAGTACCCCCACCACTTTAGTCCCGCAAATTTTTTAAAAAGAGTACCCCCACCACACATCGATACTACGATACGAATCTTAATTCACAAGATCACGTGTTCTTCGAAAATATGTGACCGGGTCAAAATCGTATCACAGGACTCGCGCTTACATGCGATGGGTTTGGGACCTGATCTCAGTTGAGAACCGTAGGCAATCGTGATACGATCGAGCTTATCACATTTGGGTTTGGGACGACATCCATCCATCGCGCGAAATCCGCCACACCTCGTTCCTAATGAATGCAATCATGTGTCGCCCACAACCAAGTAACACTAAGGATAGATGCATCAGTGCAACAAAGAAACAACAATTCCTAACTTTATACACTAATCAATGTCTCAGTTCATTCACGTTCTTTAGTAATGGGATGCACAAAATTTTTTAAAATGTAAGTGCTGGACAGTCAGTGGACACATATATTTATATAATAACAATTATTTCCTAAAGTAACAACTCCATTGTCTTATTTTTCTAATGATAATCTAGTTGGTACAACAACAAATTATTTTTCTGGGGAATATTGGATAAATTAGTCGAGAGCCGACGTACACGATTGTGCAAATTGCCCAAAATAAGCGACACGAACAATGGAATGGTCGCACATCGGAGTTCTCCCTCCAATTGTATAACTTATAACGATGGTCTCGTGTCTGATGTGTCGGGATTGGAAATCGAGCAACCCGGATCGAGATTCGGTTTTCGACCTCCGCAGGTGGCGCCCGTGCAACCACCGCCAGCCCGTGCCGGCGATGCCAACATTGGCAATGCAGTTGCTGCTGCCAACTTACTATTTAGGGCTTCTGTTCTTTACTTTGATCCAACCCGACCTTTTATGCGAGCAACAAGACATCCCTCAAGCGATGAATTTCATGAATCGGTTTCTCATTATGAGTGCAAGTCACATCGATCAAATCGAATAGATTTTGACGTTCTATTCACTAGAGTTTCTGTCTCTACGCTCAATAACACAAAAGATAGGTCACGCATTCACTAGTCGTGAATTTATTCATCTTTTTTACCAAAATCAAAATCGCATCGCCGACACCAATCATCACTAAATGCCACAACTTCTCATTGACATTGCTACTCATAGCTCTCCCCTAGGGAGAAAAAGAGATTTTACATGTATGGCTTAGGCCCAATAATTTCGAAAAATCTACATGTCCATCCATAAATCTTGACCCCACCAAAATTTAAGGAAGAATTATTAGGAATTTTCAGCAAAAAAGTCTTCCCAATTTAAGAGCTATGTTTTAAAAAAAAATCGGACTTTCAATTCGTGAAATATGATTAATGATGAGTAATTAATTCAGAAAATGGAGAAATAATGGAATAATTGAATTTTGCTATTAGATTCATTTCAATTTTCGTGACATTTGGGCGTGAATGATAACTATTATGTTCCAAAAATCAATTTCTGGCTAAAAATTTTCTATTTCTAATCTCTGGACGAGTTTTTGAGCCAAAATATACATTTGATAATGACACAAATTTCTGTTCTTGAAATAAAAATTTGTTTGATAACGACGTAAAATTTCTCCCTCCCAGGCGGACGGTGGCGGACGGCAGGAGGCGGGCAACGGGTGGTGACGAACGGCGGTGGGAGGTGTTGGTCGTCGGTGGGAGGCGTTGGGCGTCGGTGGGAGGCAGGTGGCGGCGAAGGATGGCAGACGGCGGCGAGAGGCAGGTGGCGGCGGACATCGGCGGTAGACAGCTGGCAGACATCGGCGGGAGGCGGCTAGCGGACTGTGAATGGGTGGCCGGCTAGTAAAGAGGGCGAGCAATAAGAGTAGTTTTTATTTCTCATTTCTGTTCTAAAAATAGAAAACTATAAAATTTTTACTTTTCATTTATGTTTCAAACCTATTCCTAAAATCAAAATTTATTCTAGAAATAGAAAAACAAAAAAATAGAAAAACAGAATGATTATCATGCGCGGCAACTTACCCACTATTGACATGTTACGAGAAATTCTTTAGGAAAGGATTCCAATGCGTTAATAATCTAGAACGTCAAGGGCTAGTGATAAAGGGAAGAAAAAATCAAGAGCTATTGTCCAATTGAGAAAATCATTAAGCGAGTCATAAATCCATCAAGAAAATTAAATGTCATTTGCTGTTTATTTTACGAAATCCATCATCTTTCTATATTGAGAAAAAAACAGATTCTTGGAACATCATTTATGTTAATAAATCCTAAAAAAGTTGCCAAAAGTCAGGTTAGCTGAGATCGAGAAGAATAATTATTTCTTGGATATGTCTCGATTTTGACCTCACCTTCTGAAGAGACTTGATCTTGACTAGCAGATTAGCCCGGCCGCCGACTCATTTATTGGATCGACTCGAACGTGATCCCTAACACCATTCTGATCGAGAACCCATCGAATTTGTATAACACCCAACATTTAACTACATAGACATATACGTGCACGCCTAAACCCGTAAAGAAGTCATCGTCTAAGCTCGTTTTATTAAGATCAAATCGATTGCACATTGAGACCCTTTGGAGTTTAGAAACAAAAACACATAAGTTCCATACCCATTAATATCTAGGAATCAAGATACATAATATTTAATTTTTTTCCAAAGCATATGTTCCATGCCCCCAAAGCCATGGTCCATTCCAACCATTTCAAAAGGAGGACAGCACAAACCCCACCACCTCACCACCACCACCACACTCGCTCAACTATTTTGCCTCCGTCAATCACTCGCAAATTCCCACACCAAGGCAACACCAAAGCCATGGCCAACCTCCTCTCCTCTCTCTTCCTCCTCTTCGTCGCCGCCGCCGCCGTTCATCATCGGCAAGCCCTCTCCATCACCTCCCCCTCCGACGTCGCCGCCCTCAAGGCCTTCAAGTCCGCCGTCGACCCCGCCTCCATCCCCCGCTGGTCCTGCCTCGCCTCCTGGAACTTCTCCGCCGCCGACCCTTGCTCCGTCCCCCGCCGCTCCTACTTCACCTGCGGCCTCTCCTGCTCATCCTCCTCCTCCGGCGGCCCGGCCCAGATCACCCTGATCACCCTCGACCCGGCCGGCTACTCCGGTACCCTCTCCCCGCTCGTCTCCGGCCTCTCCCGCCTCGCCGTCCTCGACCTCTCCGACAACTCCTTCCGCGGCCCCATCCCTTCCTCCCTATCCTCCCTCTCCGCCCTCACCACCCTCTCCCTCCGCGCCAACTCCTTCTCCGGCGCCGTCCCCGCCTTAGCCGGCCTCAAGACCCTCCAGTCCCTCGACCTCTCGTACAACTCCCTCTCCGGGTCGCTGCCGAGCTCGCTCAGCTCGCTCCCGAGCCTGACCCGGCTCGACCTCAGCTTCAACCGCCTGACCGGGTCCATCCCGAAGCTCCCGCCGAACCTGCTCGAGCTCGCCCTGCGGGGGAACTCGCTCTCCGGGCCGCTGTCGAAGGACTCGTTCGCCGGGTCGGCTCAGCTCGAGGTCGTCGAGCTCGGCCACAATTCGCTCGCCGGAGCCCTCGAGCCTTGGCTCTTCCTGCTCCCCTCTGTCCAGCAGATCGATCTGGCCAACAACAGCCTCGCCCGCGTCGACGTCCCGACGCCCCCGACCGCGGGCGGCGGCGGCGGCGGCAGCCTGGTCGCCGTCGATCTGGGGTTCAACCGGATCGAGGGGCTCGTCCCCGGCAGCTTCGCGAGCTACCCGCAGCTGTCCTCGCTGTCGCTGCGGCACAACCGGCTGAGGGGGGACATCCCGACCGAGTTCGGGCGGAAGGCGACGCTGAGGAGGCTGTTCCTGGACGGGAACTACCTGACGGGGAAGCCGCCGGAGGGGCTGCTCTCGCGGGGGTCGGCGGTGGCCTTCGGGAGCCTGGGGGACAACTGCCTGAGGGAGTGTCCGGCGAGTTCGCAGCTGTGCGCGCCGTCGCAGAAGCCGGACGCGGTGTGCAAGCAGGCGTACGGCGGCGGAAGACCGAGGTCTTAGCTTAGCTTCCTGTCGGGTTTCAGTCAGATTTTCGACATTATTAATTTTGTTTAGGCCATTCTTGTCTTTTTTTTCCCTTTTTTTTATAATTATCATCAGAGATGTGTAGAAAAATAAAAAAAGAAAAACAATAATAAATGTATTGAATAAGAGGGTAAAGAGGATAAAGAAATGAGGATATTATAAAGGAAGGGGGTATCTGCACGTGTATTTGTATATTTTTTAATTTTGTTGACATAATTTAAATAATTAGATATGATGATCTCTATATCATGTTTATCGTGCTCATAAGTTTTTATTGTCCAGATAAATTTAGAATGCATGCACTAAAATTTTCTTTTCTGGAGTAACCGGCTCGTTGACCAAATGATTTTTCGACAAACTCAAGGGCGATTTTTTATCTAAAGATGCCATCAAATGCTTATTTAATTTTTTTTGTCGAAATGAAAGAAAAAATAATACTCGTATTTTGTAAATAAAAGAATGATCTTGCTTAAATACATCGTATGGGAGATCTAAAAGTGTTCGAAGGTAGATTTATACTCTTTACTTCTAATCTCACATTCATTCGGGGAAAATGACATCACCGGTGTCACATAATTTTCGTACAGCGTTTGCTCACGTGTCATAACCTTTCAATCGATCGCTCAAGTATAAAATGTTCACCTTGCAAGAGTAGGAAATCTGACGTGGCATGTCGCTTATAGTCAATGTGTTGTAAAAGTCAAAACACTCAAGTGATCGCTTGAGAACGTTACGAAAGTCATGAAACTTGGGGTGTCTTTTTTCCTATTCATTCCATTTTCTAATTTATATCCTCATTATAAAAAAAAGGATAATGACACAAATAATCCCTGAACTTTGGTCAAATGCGCAATTTGATCCCTAAATTTTTAATTTGTTTAATTCAGTACCTGAACTTTAGCCTAATGTTTAATATAGTCCTTGAACTTTTAATTTGTTCTATATAGTTCATGGACTTTTGGTGCATGTTCAATGTAGTCCTTAAACTTGAATTAATGGAATGACTATATTGAACATTTTCATATAGTTCATGGACTATAACATGCATTAAAAGTCCATGGACCACATTATACATCGGGTTAAAGTTCAGGGACTACATTGAACAAATTAAAAGTTTAGGGACCAAACTGCACATTGCGCGAAAATTCAGGGACTGTTTGTGTTATTTTCCTTTAAAAAAATAGAAACAAAGACATAGAATGCATTTTTTTTTAATTTTTAATTTTTTGGGTCACTCCGACCGCCCAAACAGTTATGGAGGAGGGCTTGAGTGACGTGGGAGTGAAGTCACAAAATAAAAAAGTGTTTTGTTGTTTTTTTTTGGTCTGAAACACGAATAAAAAGTTGATTTGTGGAAACTTCTCATTTCTTTTAATCGGTGTTTTTGTGGCGGATCTCGCACACGCATCTGACACTCAACTTGACATCTGCAGGAATGCGCAGGAATCTTTCGAAATTTGTGAATAAAACAAAATATAGCGGGAAAAAGATTTATTTTTTTTTTCTATTTGAAATAAAAGAAAACGAACGACTCTTGTTATAATCCCAACTAAACCCAAACGGTCAGAAAAAATGTCTCGACACGAGATCCGTCGCAATTAGGCGACACAAAAAAAGTGATTCGGATATCCGCTCTGGAAGTGAACCGAACTCATGGCGTCGGAACTAAGGGTGAGCGGTTTCAAGGTCGGTCCAAGTTTCACCTAGAACCTTCCCGTATTTAGAATCTTGAACTTATCTCCTCATAGGTTCCAAGGTCCACTCAAAGTTCCACCCGAACGACATGTTCGTATTTAGAATCTTGAACTTATCTCCTCATAGGTTCCAAGGTCCACTCAGTTCCACCCGAATGATTACAAGAATCATCATCACTAATGAACACCATTTGCTGCAATATCGCACGATTGTGCTAAGACGAAAACAAGGAAAACGCAAAGACCTGGAACTTGGAACTCATTTGTCGGAGTCGATTCCCAAATTTTTGGAATTTGAAATGTACCATGCATATTCTACACTAAAACCATCATCACCCCTAGTCGGAACACGTGTTGCATCGCACTGATCTTGTGGAAATCCAAACAATAAGATAAAGAAAGGTATAATGACACAAAAAGTTCGTGAACTTTGGCTCAATGTGCAATATGGTCCCCAAATTTTAATTTGTTCAATGTAGTTCCTAAACTTTAGCCTAATATTTAGTGTTGTTCATAAACTTTTAATTTGTTCAATGCAATCATTGACTTTTGGTACATGTTTAATGTAGTCCCTGAATTATATGAACATGTTCAATGTAGTCATTCCATTGTCCCTGAGTTTGAATTAACGAAAGAACTACATTGAACATTTTTACATAATTCAGGAATTAAATTGAACATGTATCAATCAAGGAATACATTGAAAAAATTAAAAGTTCATGGATCACATTGCACATTGAATTAAAGTTCAGTGATCACATTGAACAAATTAAAAGTTCATGAACTATATTGCATATTGAGTTAAAATTCAAGAATTGTTTACGTCATTTTTTCACAAAGAAAAGATGACCGAACCCCTACAAAAGTCATTAGTTAAACTTTATCTGATGTCAGAAAAAAAAATAGAAAAAACTTTATCTGATGCATGATAATGACAATGTCTATTTTATCATTTCCTTTCTATAATGGTCGGGACCCACTTTCTTCTACCCCTTCTTGGACCAATAAGCTAAATGTCTTATTGAGAGATTCGCTTACTTCATTTAGGTAAAGGTTGGACATTTGCACAGTATCTCTTTAAATATATTCTAAAATTCTCATATATATATATTTCACTGTTTTTGAATTTACGACAGTGAAGTAGTCACAAGAAAATATCAAACTGTGCTCTTTGCACATATTTATTTTAAACTTTTTTTTTGTGACACCGATAATTTTAAACTTGTATTTATGTGACCTATTTACCCTCTATTAAGATTTCATCAATGAGCACCGTTAAAAATTTACCTCCATGGACGGCGAAAGGCTAATGGTCTTGACGTGCCCACGTGGTTTAAGTGCAATAAAAATGATGTCGTTTTTGCTGGAAAATCATCTCGTGGAACCTTAATGGAAAGTAAATTTGTCATGTGAACACAAACTTGGAGATTTTGATGTCGCAATAAAGAGTTTATGGTAAATGTGTCACGGTGGGTATAATTTGAGATTTATTGTGTTACAAAAAAAATTTAGGGTAAATTTGTCACAATGGAAATAATTTGAGGTTTTTGATGGCGTTTTTCCTTTCAAAAAAGAATATACTAACATTTGGTTTATCAAAGGCTTGCTTAACAAGTTTTGCTGGAGCAATGATTAAATTAACTAGAAGTGGAACTAAAAATTTTCAAGATATTTTTAGAAAAATGACAAAAAAAACCTACACATTTTAATAAAATCATTAACTTCAAATCATACATTTAATAAGACTTAACAAGTGCCCAACCCAAGAGCACTCATTTGAGATTTGAGGTACTCAGCTTGGCAATCACAGGAAGAGTTGGTCAGCAATCTTCTCCAAAGGGGAACCGATTTTATTCAAGCAATTGAATCTTAACAAGTGACATATCTGTACAAAGGCAGAAATGAAAGGGAATTAATCAAATAATGTGTTCTCCAGGTACAATGAAATAATGTGTCATTCTCACGTTTACACAATCAGGAACACGAACTCCCGAATCGCGGCGATCTCGCCGATCTTCTTCAGCGTTTCCTTGGTGGGCTGATCATCCAGCTTGATCGAGATCATACATTCCGAGTTCTCCGAGTTCATGGTGGTCCTGGTAGCTTTCATGAAGCCGATGTTCACGTTGGCCTCTCCCAGGATGCTTCCGATCTTTCCAATCAAACCCGGCTGATCGATCGCCCTGCAGAGCAGGATGCACCCTTCCAACCGAACGTCTACCTCGAAATTCCCGACCTTCGTCAAGAAGGGGAGCCCGTCTTTTACCCGTCCCTCCACTTCGATATCCCCGGACGTCGATAAGGCGCTGTCGAATCTCGATTCCACGTTTGCAATCTGAACCCGGATGAACTCGAGAGGGTACTCTGGTGAACCTGTCAAAGTGACTCGCTCTTCGGAAATTCTGAGTCCTCTTTGCTTAGCTACTGAATCTCCATTCACCCAGTTGACGATGACGCTGGAAATGGGTTCGATCAGGCCCTTGATAACCCCTGCCCGGAGGAGTTTCGTATCAAGTTGATCTGGTTCTCTAGCGGAAGCGTACGTGACTTTTACTGCTTTAAAACCACCTCTTCCCGCTATTAGTTTGACGGCAAATCTTCCTAGATTGATTGCAAGGTCCAGAAATGGTTTCAACTCTGCAAGAACCTGATAGAACAAAGGAGCATTAAAATGTGCAGGACATATTTCTAATGAATGTAGAAGAACTGGTAACTATCATCAGATATATATGACAGCATGTTAGTGGAACGGTTTCTTTAGCCCAGAAAAGGAGGTTTATTAGACCTCAGATAACATCGTAATAGACGGGCATTCGCATAAAATCAAAGGATCAATGCAGGACTAACATTATTTGTTCTACTATATTTATTCATTAATTGTTAATTAATTTCTGGAAGAGAATGAGGGCAATGGCTTCTGAACATAGATGCATGAACAATCCAACAACATATATGCAGTATGCTGCTTTTAAGGAGCACTTTTATGTCGCATGGTGTTAGCTCATGAAGAGACTAGATGCTACACAATATAAAGATGCCAGACGATACCTCAGCAGCAACCATCGGTTCGTTGACTACAGTTGAAGGAAGTTCTCCTTTTAAAGCTTTAATGACAGCTTCTGCAATTTCGATAGCCAATTCTTCCTGCATATTGCTTTTGCTGTCATCTAGTGGCACATAAAATGAACATTTCAAGCATTCATAAACTCGGGCCATTCAACCAACCTGAGCTTCAAAAGTACTGTCTCCAAGATTTGGGGTAACGATAACTTTCTCATGTTGGACCAGCTTGTTGTCTTTTGGTGGCGGCTCCTCTATCAAAACATCTACTGCTGCCTATTAGAGAAATCACTTCAATGTTCCAGATGACATAATTAGCAGTCCCCTAAAGACAAAAGTGAGACAGAAATAAGTACCCGAGACACAATTCCTGAATCAAGTGCCCTGACTAGAGCATCTTCATCAATCAATCCTCCATGAGCAACATTCAGAATTTGAACGCCTTTCTTCATCTTTGCAAAGGTCTCGTCATTAAGCATCTTCTGTGTGGCAGGAGTAAGATGCATATGTAAGGAGATGAAATCTGCATTTGCTATGGCTTTGTCGAATGTCACCAACTCCACCCCAATTGCACGGGCTAGATGACCAGAGGCGTATGGATCATATGCAATTACGTGCATTCCAAGACCTTTGGCACGTCGGGCAACATCAAACCCAACCTCGACAAAACCCATAACAGCAAGGGTCTTCCCTGAAAGAGACATGCCCACATACTTTTTCTGTTGCCAATTACCTGCATTAGCCGATGCATGTATGCCAAAAGTCACTTCAAGTTTCTGGCCATATTGTCACAGTCAAGTTCTTTCCCTCTCTATTTAGCCAAAACAGTTGAGTGTCTGACTATCCAATTTGAGAATATGTAGTATGTACACAAAATAGAAGATCTGTTATCATCAAGTGTTCCATTAAAAAATATATGCCAGATTGATCAAAATTCGTTTGGTTATCTGACAGTCAGCTATAGAAAATTGTCATCATCAAGCAGCTCCTCTGCAAAATTCTACGTTCTGGATGAGAAAGACATTGCTACTATTAATGAGGAAATATATTGGTAAACATAGCCCCTGCATAAATATACTGAGATTCACAAACTCAACCTCCTCCTTCATCATCCTGATTTCTCAAGGTCAAAAGGAACCTCATAAACCAAAGAAAATGTAGTTAGCTATTTCAATTTATACGTACGGAAAAGGGTTTCCTGAATTTACACTGCATCTTGCAGTAACTAGTATGTGGTTCTACTAAGATATCTTGAAACACCTTCTCAGACTGATTCCGCTTCAGAATCATATTTCTGACTAGAATATGAAACTCCTCTCCTCTTATTCTTCAAACAATAAGGTATAGAAAGAATCCATCTAGACCCTGTGTCATTCCAAAAAGAAGGGGCATGCAGTGCTCATGGCTCAGAACACATCAATATTTGGGACCTGCATAATCTAACGGGTAACGCCAATTGGCCACGTCTGGCCCAGGAGCATGCAACAAATTTTCCCAAAAAAGGCGCCTAGAGAAAGCATCCAATTATTGCTGTTGTACCCTTTTAGATCACAAAATCATAGTTGCACATGAGTATAGCTAAACTTTTTACACGCAGATTCCAGGATACAGTTGTTCTTGTCTCTGATTGTTCCACACGAAACCAAACCATTATCCAATGGAATCGTTCAGTAACTTCTGATTATGGAATATATTCCAAAAACTTTAGGGACAAAAGTATCTCATGCCATGAAAGTTTTCACAAGTAAATATGCATTAACTAGATGCAGAAAGACAATTCAACAGTTACCATTTGAGTCCCTTCCCCATGTATGAACAACCCCAACATATAATACTAAACAATGCCAAACAGAACAAACAGCCAGAACTAGAAGTGCTAAAAAAGGATTGAAATTCATAAAACAAACGCTGACCCGACTTCACTGAAACTGCAGCCTGCGCAATGTTTCGGGCCATGGCCGTCAGGAGCGCAATCGCGTGCTCGGCCACCGCAGTTGCGCTCGCACTCGGTGCATTCACCACCAAGCACCGATTCTCGTTTGCCGCGGCCAAGTTCACATTGTCGATCCCACCCCCGGCGATCCCGACCACCTTCAGCCTCCCGCGGGAGCAGCCGAACACGTCCCTGCTCACCTTCATCTCGCTCCCGACGATGAGCGCGTCACACCCGCCGATCCTCGCGCACAGCTCCTCGGGCGCGAGGTCAACGGCGTAGTCAACTTCCACGAAATCCCTGAGCATCCCCAGCCCCGCATCCCCGAGCTGGTCCGCCACCAGGACGGTGAACCGGTCGTCATCGGAGGCTGCACGCAGGGCTGCCGGCGGGCTGCGAAGGGCACGGCGGAGGGATACAGAGGCGGCGAGGTTCGGCGAGAGAGCACGCCTGGAGGAGGGGAAACTGCCGGTCGCTAAGGCTTTCCCGAGGTTGATGGTGCACGCCATGTCGTCGTGACGTTGGGTTCGCTCGAGGAAGGTGGAGAGGGAGGGAATTTAAAGAGCATGTGGCCGTGGTTCTCATGGCGGTTTGGGGGGTTTTTCACGGAAAAGAGAGGGAAGATGAAGGGAAGCTGTGAGAAAAAATGGAAGAAAGAAAAAACAGTGGGAACTTGGTCAACAACGCCGAGGGGTTAACCAACTTCAGAAGAATGAAGAAAGTCGTCGCTTCCACCGCCGTCGGCGGTGGACGGTGGCTTCGATCTCCGTCACGGCCGACGACGGAGTTGAAGTGCGACCTGGTCTCAGCCGCCGCCGTCTTCTTCCTCCTCCTCTTCTTCTTCTTCTTCTTCTTCTCACGTGGTCCCTTCCCTGCAGATGCAAGTGAATTGTTCCTAGTCTCACTGCACCGATGATGTCTTAACGCATTGCTTTCTTTCTAAAAAAGAAATTATCACTTATATAATATATAGGGTTAATACATCGAAAAACCCTTAACTGATACACTCGTGACACATTTACCCCAAATTATTTTTTTGACCATAAAAACCCCAAACTGGTACACCTGTGACAATTTTACCCCGAACATACCACAAAAAACCCAAAACAGTTAAATACGTGACAATTTTACCCCAACTAATTTTTAATATTATTTTTGAATTTTTTGAATTTTTTCTTTTTCTTTTCTTTTCTTTTTTTTTTTCTTCACTTCAACCTTTGGCCGGTCGCCGATCCGGCCGAGCAGCCAGCAGAAGCCGGCAGAAAGCCTCGGCGACGGCAGCGGGCCGCCCTCGCTCGACTCGGCAAGGGCGACCCTCGCCGGATCTAGCGAGGCGGCCCTCGCCGCGTCGGGCCGCCCTCGCCTAGGGCGACCCTTGCCGGATCTAGCGAGGCGGCCCTCGCCGGCGTCGGGCCGCCCTCGCCCGAGCTCGGGCGGGCCGTCCTCGCCCGCCCAAGCGAGCCTCGCCGAAGCCGAGCGAGGCGGCCCTCGCCCGAGTCGGGCGAGGGTCGCCCTTGCTACTGGGCGGGCGAGGATAGCCCTCGCTCGGCCAGCCGGAGAGCAACCCTCGCCCGACGCGGGCGAGGTCGCCCTCGCCCCGAGATCGGGCGAGGCGGCCCTCGCCCGAGTGTGTCACAAGTGTACCGGTTTAGGGTTTTTCGTGGTATTAACCCTAATATATACACACACATATACACACACTTATATATGCACTACCAAATGTGCAAAAGAATTGCAAAAAATGGGCATTTGCAAAAATCAAACAAAGTTAATTAATCGCAGAATATTTGAACTATTAAATAATGTAAGGAAATAAATTGCATAAATATTCGTGGGAATGTGATATATGTGAAAGAAAAACCTTTCGAGCTTTGAATTTGTTTTCCGAAAAAAGGGTTACTTTTGGATAGGAAATATTTAATACTAGTAAACCGTATATAAGTGCATGTTAGAGAAATAAAGGGAAAAGTGTTAGAAAAGTCCTAAACCTATTGCATTGGTGCCAATTTAGTCATAAATCTTTTTTTGGTGTCAATTTAGTCCTAAATCTTTTGAACTAGTGTCAATTCAATCCTTTTGGCTAATTTTGACCCGATTTTACTAATGTGGACGCCGGCTAGCTTATGTGGCACTGTTGATGTTGACGTGTATAATTTTTAATAATATTTTATTTTTAAAATTATTTTTTGATTTTTTTCTTTCTTTCTTTCTCCCTTCTTCCCATTGCCGGTGACTGGCCTTCGGCCAGGCGAGCCTCGGCGTGGCCTGAGTAAGCCTTGGCAAGGGGAGCCCTCACTGGGGCTCGCCTAGCCAGTGGCTGGCCATCGCCTGTGGTCGATGGCCAGTCACCGGCAAAGGGAGGAATGGAGAAAGAAAGAAAAAAAAAGAAAAAAGAGAAAAAAAAGAATCATAAAAAACAATTAAAAAATTGAAAAATATATTAAAATATTATTAAAAAAATTCAACGTCAGCGCTAGTCGTGCCACGTAGGCTGGCGATGTCCAACCAAAATTAGCCGGAATGACTGAATTAACATTAATTCAAAAGGTTTAGGACTAAATTGGCACTAAAAAAAATTTAGGATTAAATTGGTACAAATGCAATAGGTTTAGGACTTTTTTAACATTTTTCTCGAGAAACAAATGATTGAGATTCTTTTGAATAAAAAAGAGTTCTTTTGATTTAAATATATCACTGACGATGTAATAAATTTTGGTAAGATGCTTGAAATTATTTATATTTCGTTTATTTATTCTTCGTCTTGTAATTTAAAAAAGAAATTTTATTTACCCATTATTGGGTCACTTTATAAGCTAGTGGTGTTTTCGCCGACCTTCGATTTTCGACATTTAATAAAAAAAAAACTCATTTAGGATTACAATCTTCATTGTGATTAAATATACATCTATTGCTTATTTATTTGAGAGGATGGCAAACTTTTCTGAATCCCATCGGCCAAATCAATCTGGATTAACATTACTTGTTAATGCATTCAAATTTAATTTGTCGCCCCTTCGGTAGATATTGATGTTATTTGTGAGCTCAACAAATTAGATGTGCATATCAACATAGTAAATTTTGAGCTATTTTCTCCTTCTTTTTTCCCCTTATATCTTACCGTTCATTTTTCTTTTTTGCATTTGCTCCCTGCCTTCTTTCTCAAGCCGGTTGTTGTTTATCAGAAAGGCGTAATTTCTGTCTGAGGTCGATTTTGGACCTCCACATTATAAAAACAAAAAAAAAACATTGTTATATATGTGTTTCTTATCATAGCAAATGAATGGAAAGGAAAATTACCAAAAAAATCATAAATTTATTGTATTTTTATCAATTCAGCCATAAACCTTTTAATTATGTCAATTGAGTTCTAAACTTTTCATGTTTTGCGAATTAAGTCAATCTGGCTAATTTTGGCAGGAAATTGCTAACGTAGATACTGATCTTTTGACATGGCACGGTCAACGCTAATGTGGATAATTATTTTTAATTTTCTTTTAATTTTCTTTTTTTCTTCTATTTGGCTTTTATTTATTTATTTTAACTATGGTCGACGAGGGTTGCCGGGCTCTTGTCGGTCACAGTTGAGGCCATCACGGCTTTGTGTGAGGTCATCCTAGGTCAGATTTGGGTAAGGTGGCCTCACTCGCAGCCGCAATGGTTTGGGCGAGGGTCGCAAAGCCCTTGTCAGCCACAAGTGAGGGTTGTGCCTCGCCTAGACCTGGCTAGGGCCATGACCCTCCCTCACTACTAGAGAGGGCTTCGTGGCCCTCTCCCGTGACCGGGGAGGACTGTGCAGCTCTCATCGGCCACAATAAAAAAATAAAAGAAGGAAAAGAGAAGAAAAGAAAAAAAAGGAAAAAAATTCAAAAAAAAATAAAAAAATTGTTCAATTCAGTGCTAGCCGTGCCACAAAAAACGGCTGGTATCCACGTCAGTAATTTTCGGTCAAAATTGGCTGATTGACTCAATTGTCAAAACATAAAAATGTTTAGGACTTAATTGGTACAATTAAAAGATTTTGGACTAAATTGGTAAATGTGTAAATGGTTCAAGATTTTTTTGGTAATCTTTTCCAATGAACTCGGTAACTAAATTGATGGATAAATATTCGGCCACATTCTTAGTAAATGTTAAATAGTGCTTCGACATCTGTACTACCTTATAAAGTGGACTTTGAAGTTGGTGCCCACTTCCTCCTCTTTAATAGATAACCGATCCAATTTTTCGCGAAGAGTTTTTTTTCTATTGTATATGTCATGATCTGAAATTTTTCATACAATTTGAAACTTGAAAGACTAAAAAAAAAAGGGTACACTTGTGACAGATTTACCCTAAATTATTTTTTTGACCATAAAAAATCCCAAACTGGTACATCTGTGACAGATTTACCCCGAACTATTTTTTTGATTACCAAAACCCCAAACTGGTATACCTGTGATAATTTTACCCCGAACTAATTTTTTAATATTATTTTTTATTTTTTCGAATTTTTTTAGTTTTTATTTTATTTTCTTTTTCCTCTCCTTTTCTTTTTTTTTTTCCTTCACCTTTAACCTCTGGCCGGTCGCCGATCCGGCGAGGTCGGTCCCGCCGGCCGCTGGCGAGGCCGACCTCGCCGGCAACTGGCAAGGTCGGCCTTGCCCCACCCCTGGCGAGGGGTCATCCTCGCTGTCGCTGGCAAGGTTCGACCTCACTGCTTTTGGGCGAGGTTGACCTTGCCAGTTGCGGCGGGGCCAAGCCTCGCCAGCGATGGCGAGGACAACCCCTCGCCGGCAACTGGCAAGGTCGAACCTCGCCAGGGGTGGGCAAGGCCGACCTCGCCGACCAGAGGTTAAAAATGAAGGGAAAAAAAAAGAAAAGGAAAGGAAAAAGAAAAGATAAGAAAAACTAAAAAAAATTCGAAAAAATTCGAAAAAATAAAAAATAAAATTAAAATATTAGTTCGGGGTAAAATTGTCACAGGTGTACCAGTTTGGGTTTTTTGGTGGTCAAAAAAATAGTTCGGGGTAAAATTATCACAGATGTACTAGTTGGAGGTTTTTTATGGTAAAAAAAATAGTTTTGGGTAAATCTGTCACAAGTGTACCAGTTTAGGGTTTTTCGTGATATTAACCCAAAAAAAAATGAACCTCAAATGATTTACACAAATTATATATTTTTATATATAATACTTATGCAAAATATAAACGCTTACTTTTACTGCACACTCTAATCAAGTCCTCAATAGCGCTAATTTAAATGTCTCGTACTCTAAACTCGATTAATTTGTAATTTTTGTTTGGATGAGCCTAATCTGAATAAATGAAATCTCTAGATTTAAGGTAGGAGATTATCTTACTACTTGACCCAAGAGTACAATAGTATGATAACATTCAACGAGTGATATCACATTACATTTCGAGGAATCACTATAATTCAGAAAATGACAATCATTCATTTGACGAGAGTAAAATATATCTTCGTTATTTAAATATTCATAATAGAGTAATTCTATCACTTGAGGAAATAAAACATGTATTCTACATGATTCAAGTTCTTGGAACCCAACTCACATCTAACATGTTAACCGTTTCATCTTTTATAAGCACGTATCACAACATAGATTTACAAACATATCAAGATCCATATATTGTCGTACATATTCACAAAAGTCGTTTCAAAGACAAATCAGCCATGCCAAATTTCTTCATCACTTGCTCACTTCAGGAAGATCAACTTACTCTAAACAACGAGTATTCGCTTACACTTTCCAAACATATTATTTAAGTTAATTTAAGATGTAAGTCGGGCATTATTAACAATAATCATGTAGGCAATGAATTAGAACTAGAAGCCATGATATGATATTTAGTTTTAACACTCAAATGCACATATATGACTTATTAATTTCATGATCACGTA